CAGCCCGGAAAGGCCTCGCATACTATGTAGGCGAGCCAGATGTAGCACAACATGTCGACGATGCTGCTTAGCAGGGCGTTCGCCACGGGATTCGCGAATCATGTTTGAAGAAAAGAGGTGAGGTGAGTAGCTTTTAGAGAAGAGAAAACTTTCTGGTGCAATCTGTATGGTAGTCAGGCAGTCGAAGAATTCAGTTTCTCTGCTGCGCGCGTGGAAAGCAGACAATCTCTCAATCCGGCACGACGTCACCGTGCAGTTTCGGAGAGCTATCGGCCGCAGGTTACCCTTTGTAAGGTTCCGAGCGCATCGACACGGTTTTTTTTTTTTTTTTTTTTTTGGCAATGGTGGGCTCATCTCACAGGATGCTATTTACGTGGTAGTGAGTACAATAAGATTCAAGGGTTCCCGATTGGGAGACCTGTAACCCCGGACCTCCCAATGGTGCAGTGGAAAGACTGTGGATTGCATACACATGTACCATGCGACTTCCCTCGGAAAGGCAGGGATCATGGACAGGGACGAGCAGGTGGAAACCATTCAGTATCCTGTAGCAATGAGTACATTCAGATTGGCTGCATGCCCCGACACATCGATGTATGCCAAGCGATTGATATGTCGGGATATGGTGAAGAAGTTGATCGGGCCACTTGCCGAGTCCTTACAATGAAGATTAGGACTTTGTTTGTCTAGTATTGACGGTTATGCATTTGCAAATCTGTTCAGGTCGTTACGAGTTCTGCCCACCAATGCCAAACGACAGAAGCAATTGAAATATATGGAATACCACCAGGCGTGCCAAATATTCCGAGTATATCCTTCCTCACTCACTGCATTTCATTTCATGTCAACCTCAACCTCAACCTCAACCTCAACCTCTACTGACGTGGCAGACTATGATTCTTCGAGTCTTGCAAGCAAGGCCCAATGTCGCCAAGATTTTGAACATGACCAAATGGCTGCGCCCAGAACCGTCCATGTTGGATGCAGATCCGGGAGACGAAGCGGAGCTATGTAATGAGACCTCACACCGACCCCGGCTGCACAATTCCATGTCGGTCACAATGCAAGTTCTCATTGAGAACGAACGTTAGGTAAGGAAGTCTCTTTATGAAAGCAAGTTTCTGTCTCACCTACATCCCTACTACCTCTAGCTGTGCCAGCCGAGGCATCATAACTCGATCTTGCGAATCAAGGAGACTCAACCTGGATACTTATCATGGTGCCAACAGAAGTCGACCAAGTCTATAAAGTAGGGTCGGTCCCATTGCAGTTAATTTTCCTCTTCATACTACAAGCCATTCTGAAGACCAGCTCCCAAGCACGTACGAAGAAAATGTCTCTTTTGCTCTCATTGAACCACCAGCCCTCGTCCCCCATTCTAGCGTTGACCGGACACCCACGTTTAATGTCATGCACCAATCCTAATATCCTCATCTCCAGTTCCCACCTCCTTCATCCATCCTCTGATAGACCCTCGGACCAGCTCAAGCAGCCTCACACTGCAGCCCAGGGCCCTAGTGGTGACGCAGTGTTGGGTTACTCCCCTTCGGCCGGCGACATGTCCACTGTTGACTTTCCCATTGGGCAGGGACGCCCCCAAGCCCCGTTCCATGGCACAACACGGTCGTTGCGAAGCAGAAGCCATACTATCGACAATAGAAGCTCAGTGATCGCATTCGGTACTGCTTTCCCTCCAGGCCTTCGCACATTTCGGGATAAGTTTGTTATTATGTTTGTTCAAACATGCCGCCCCGGCCACGATGTCCTGAACACATCTCCAAAGTCGGCCCAAGACAAGTTGGCGCCAAGCCAGGGTTGTCAACGGTCATTATCTTCTATACTGGCGCCCACGATCTGTCCATTCCAGCATGCGCCACCGAGGGCTGATGATCAGCAACAGGGTTTCCAATGCGACGCATGTCTCCAAGTCGTTACCACCAAGGATAACCTGCGTCGTCATTACCGGTCCGTCCACAAAGATCTATGCGATCCATTCTACTTCTGCAGATGCGGAAAGATGGACTCCCGCAAGGACAACCATGTGCGCCATGTCCGCAACTGTACCCGACGCCAAATGTTGGAGTTTTACTTCTGCAAGTGCGGGAACCAGAACGTCGAGAAGCATGGGCATCTGGGACATGTTCGACCCTGTAGCTTCGACTATTCCCGAGGAACCCATGACTAAGCCTGGGCCTGAGTCATCGCACGGCTGGGTACGTTGCGGTAAGGAGCAGTACTGAGGAGGCCACCGACGTGCTCTTGCTTGGAGGATCATCGATAATTAATGATGGATGAAGGTGGTCAGGATCCTCAACTGTTGATTTCCGTCTCATTTTCATGACGGATGTTTTTCAATTGGATACTATAGAGGTAATTTGCATGTCATGGAAAAGGAAAAAGAAAAAGGGATATTGTACAAGAAAGGAAGAACAAAAGCGTCTGGCAAATAGCGAGGAATGGGAAATAGACCTCATCTACCTCACTTCAATGTTAGCAAAGACTTTACATTTTATATAATCATTTGTTAGCTTCACGTTAGGTGCCGTCGTGCCATGCCGCACCCAGACACCGTATACAGGGGGTTGTGCATGATGCGGGCCGGAGATATTGGTTCTAGCCCTCAGCTTGATGTCTCTCCCCACCAACCGTGGTCGCCATTGCTCATTGCCCAACCTATAAAACTGTGCACGAGTCTTTGGCAAGTAGCCCCAAATTCATATATGTAATGAGCTAAGATGACTTGGATATCATTTGGCAAAAATAATAAGACATTGGGGTTTCGGCCCCATGCCGTGCTGCACGACGACGTTATGGCTGAAGACTCCGCGGCTAGTGGGAAGAGGGTCGACAATGTCGTGTTGAAACAATGTATCACGATCAAAGAAACAAGGTGTAGTCTATCATGAACAAATTTATCAGAAATCTATATAACTAATAACCACAAAGCTAGATACACTCAATGATGCACAATATTTCCAACTCGAGAGGACTCGCCCACTTCGACCATTCGTAAACGTGTGCTTCGACACAGGATGTTTGTACAGAATGCCAAATCCAAGATCCAACAGATATATACAGTACGAAAACTTCCAGCGCAAATGCAATGATAATGCAGAGATGAATAACTAAAAAAAGAAGGACTCGTTTGACTCCGTGCAGATGTTGATGACAAAAAGGAAATTCGACCAATCTTTTTTTCATGAAAGTGGGAACAGAGATCAGAAGTTGATCATCTTGCTCTTGACGCACACACCCTTGGCCAGGCTCTGGAGCGAGCCACTGGAGAGGAGCTCCAGAACTTGAAGGGTAGCCTCGAACTCGCGGGTGATGAAGTTACGGATCTCAATGGCGACGAGAGAGTCGAGAGGGTAGTGCGACAAGGCACGGGTAACGTCCAAGTCCTCCTTCTCCATCATCATGACGGCTGCGCACTTCTCGACCAGACCATCGCAGACAATCTGCTCAGCCTCCTCGAGAGTCTTGGCTGCCTTGGCAGCAGCGTTCCATGAGATGTTCTTGTTGCCGCCAGCTGCAGCGTTGGCGGCAGCGGCAGCTTCAGCAGCCTCGCGCAGGTGCTTGCACTTGGCATCCTGAGTCCAGAAAGGCTGCTGCTCGGGGGTGATACGCATACCAGTAATGGTGTGGTTGTTGCAAATGGCGCCCAACTTGCCACTGATGGCGGTGCCGAGGAGAGCAAGCACCTCGGCCTCGCAGATGGAGTCACCAGCCAAGTTCTTGGCGACTTCTGCAGCCTTTTCGGCATCCTCAGCCAAGTAACCAGTGTCGGAGATGGCAGTCAAGTCAAGAGACGAGGCTGGGAGGCCGTTGGCGAGACGGTACTGTACCAGGGCATTGAGGAAACAGTTGGCAGCAGCATAGGCTGCTTGACCACGGTTACCGACGGCACCTGCAACAGAGGAAATGGCCACGAAGAAATCAAGCGGGGCATTGACCAGAGCGTTGTGGAAGTTCCAGCCACCCTGCACCTTGGACTCGATGACTGAAGTGTACTGGTCAAAGGTCATCTTCTCAAAGAGCACATCGTGAAGAACCATGGCACCGTGAATCAGACCGCGCACAGGTGGCATGCCCTCAAGACCCTGGTTGACAAGATCCTCGACATCAGCCGGGTTGGCAACATCGCAGCGGCGGACCACGACATTGGCACCTTCCTGGAGAGCTTCGTCGATCAGCTCCTTGACCTTGCCAGTTGCCGAACCAGACCGGGAAACGAGGACCAGGTTGCGGGCTCCACGCTTGATCATCCATCGGGACATGCTACGTCCCAGACCACCGGTACCACCAATAAGGATGTAAGTGGCGTCGGCCTTGAGAAGCTGCAATGGCTTCTTGGCGGGGGTTGCCTGAATCTGGTCAGCTGATTGCATACACGTAATGTTCATTTGCAGAAATCTTACCTTGACGATGTCGTCTGCATGGGGCACAACGACCAGCTTGCCATGAGCATTGGAGCTGTTCTGGAGACTCTTGAGAGCGGTCTCGACCTGTGAAATTGGGAAGGTAGTGATGGGCGATGGCGCAGCAACCTTGTTGTACTTGATGAGCTTGGACACATCGGCGAGGACTCGCTGCAACAGCTTGGGTCTCTCGGAAGCCAATGCCATCATGTCAACAGTCATGAAACTGCAGTTCTGCTCGAACTGGTCCATCTCAAGCTTCATGCTGGTCGAGGAGATGCGAGTACCGACGTCGATCAGGCGACCAAACTTGTTCAGGCAGTCCCAGCTCTCACGAACAGCATCACCAGCAAGACAGTTCAGCACAACATCAACACCGCTGCCATTAGTGACCTGGCGCAGAGATTTGCCAAAGGTGTTGTTGCGGCTGTAGAAGATGTGGTCCTCGGGGATATTGTACTGCTCCATCAAGGCTTCCTTCTTTTCGGCACTGCCAACGGTAACAAAGACCTCAGCGCCAATCATCTGCGCAAGAGAGATTGCAGCTTGACCCACGGCACGAGCAGCAGCGTGGATCAGGACACTTTCGTCCTCTTGGAGGCGACCAAGCTCGATCAAGGAGTAGTAAGCCGTGCTGTAAGCCAGAGGCAGGGAAGCACCAGTCTCAAAAGACATGTCGTTGGGCATCTTGAAGGCGAAGGTGGCCTTGGTGCGGGTGCTGGTAGCAAAGCCACCCTGGGTCATGGCGGCAACGCGATCACCGACCTTTAGGTTGGTCACCTTGTTACCGATCTTGGTGACAATACCACTGGCCTCGACACCAAAGTCATCGGTAGCCAGCTTGCCGTGAGCAGCAGTGAGATCACGGTGGTTGAGACCGATTGCCTTGACTTCAATCTCAATGTCCTCGGCATTCAGAGGCTCCTCCTTGCTCTCATCATCAACAAAGTGCAGCGTCTCAAGAGCCCCAATGTTGCCAATCTTCAGCTTCAGAGATCTATCACCCTGACTGAAAGGAGTAGGCTGAAGTGCGGCGGAAGCAGTCTCCTGGTGGACAATGGCGTTCATCTCGGGGTCGTTGATGATGCGGGGAGTGAAGAACTTTCCACCACGCTGAGAGAATTCCATCTCACCGTTGGATGGACTGTCCTTACTGAAAACAGCCTGGAAGACCTTTAGGACAGCCTCCGTAACAGAGTCAGCCTCGAGAGGCGAGCGGCCATCGAGATCAAGTGTAGCGAATGGCAGCAGAGTCTCTGAGCGAATGGTTCTGCTCATTCCCGTGATCATGTTCATGTCTGGCGAGGTAGCATTGTCATAGGCTCCCCGGACAACCCAGAGTGCACCCTGAACCTTGGTCAGAATAGTCTGGAGTGCCTCGAACTCATTGGACCTGATGTTGGAGAGGAGGGACTTCTCAACCTCAGGCAGGAAGATGGCCAATTTGCCCTCAGCGTCTGGGGCAGAGAGCAAGGTGGTCATTTGCGGCATTTTGCCTGTGAGCTTCTCAATGCTTCCCGCTAGGTCGGTAGCAACCTTGGCCTGGAGGGGTGTGTTAGAGTGGACAATGATCACCTCAGCCTCAGTGGGCTTTGGTGGCTCGGCGGGCTCCGACTCCAAAACGGGCTCCCAGTCCATCTTGAAGCAGAGCTCCTTGTGCTCTTCCTCAGAAGTAGCCTCATGGTCGATAATTGGCGAGATTGTGAGATCTTCAATGGCGATAAGAGGCTCCGATGGCTCGTCCTTGGATGTGACAAACATGGCAATCTTGGTAGACTTGGGCGCGTCGGTAGAGAATTGACCCTGAGAGTAGGCATTGAGTACCTTTCCGGGCTCCTGCGTCGCCTCAGTGATCTTCTTGGAGACTGTGATGCGCTCAACTGCGGAAGGCAAGTAGATAGTGTCGAGAGCGTTGTGACCGCCGTCGGCAATGGGCCAGTACATGGAAATGAGTGACTCGAGGAATGCGGGCTGAAGGACAGCCTGTGTCACGTAGTGGTTGGGCATCTCCTTGGCAATGTCAGGAACGACCAACTCAGCCTTGGAGCAGTCATTGCTGGCGGTGACCTTGCTCAGACCTTGGAATGTTGTACCGTAACCCACACCAAGCTCATTCAGGGTATCATAGAGCTTGTCTGCTGAGACTGAAGCAGAGGCAGCAGCTTCAACAGCGGCAATGGTGGACTTGACGCGTGTCTCGGCCTCCTTGGCACATCTTGAGTCATCGACACCGTTGGACTCGTGGTTCTCGACCGCAATGAATCCCTTGCAGTGCTCCTTCCAGCCTTGAGTCTTGCTCCACGAGCAGATGCGGAACTCGTCCCAAGTACCTTGGGTGCTCTCCTGGTCGGGTCGTAGAGTTGTGGTCATCTCGACATCAGCGTCAGGGATGACGAGTGGAGCAACGACAGTGACATCGCGCAGCTGGTACTTGTCAAAGGCTGTCTCGGCAGCGGCCGCTCTCTGGGCAGCAGCCTCAATGGCCATGGCAATGAATCCAGACATGGGGAAAACAGTCAGAGACTGAACCTTGTGGTGCTCAAGCCAAGGGAGATCTTCGAGGCGAACAATGTTTCGCCACGTCGGCTCTAGATCGTTGGAGTAGTGTGCAACAGTTCCCAGAATATCGTTGCGTGGGGCACTGCGGTGCTTGTGCTTCTGCGTTAATCTGGAGTCGTGCCAGTACTTGGTCGACTTGTTCCATGGGTATCGTGGCAAGTCAGTCAACAACTGAGGTGGCGTCTTTTGCTGCTTGGGGAAGTTGATGGCATCAAAGTCGAGGGTGTATCCCTTGGTGAACAAAGTGCCCGCAAGAGCCAGAGCCGTCTCAACAGCGTCCTTCTTCCTGCCAAGGGCGGCAGCATACGGGACCTTGGGCGCATCACCGCCAACAGCCTGCATAATCTGCTTGATAGGTCCCTGAAGGGCAGAGTGAGGACCAAGCTCAATCAGCATGTTGACACCAGTTCGGTGCTCGCCAATAGGTGCGAGCATGCCCTTGACAGCCTCGCTGAATCCTACAGCGCAGGTCAAGTTCTGAACCCAGTAGCTGGGCTCGAGCTCTGATGCGTCGCACTGTCTTTGGAGCAGAGAAGAATAGTAGCGAACGTTTGTAGGAGCAGGAGCAGGGAGGTGCCCAATTGCTGCTTGGTAGTCCTTTGCCAACAAGTTCATGTGGTGAGAGTGGTAAGCAGTATCAACGAAAAGCTTGCGGTTGAACAGCTGCTTCTCATCCACAATCTTCTTGAGCTCATCAATACCGGACTCATCACCGGAGATGGTCAAACTGGTAGGTGAGTTGTAGCAAGCAATCTTGACCTCTCCGTCCTTGAGACCGGCGATCAGAGGCTCAAACTCTTCCTTACTACCGCCAACGGCCATCATGGAGCCGCGGAGGTCAGGATATCTCTCCTTGAGGACGGGGATGAGTCTTCCACGGTGGTATGCAATCTCCATACCAGAGTCAAAGTCCACAATACCGGCGGCATAGGCGGCACCGATTTCACCGCTAGAGTGACCGGCCACAGCCTCGGGGTAGATACCCCAGGAGCGCAGCAGATCAACCAAAGCCAGTTGCACAGCTGTGCACGAAGGCTGGCTGATGTGGGCGGCACCGACCTGGCTGGTCTTTTCGTCCTTGCTCAGCTCCTCAACCAGGGACCAGGAGGCGCCAATGGACTTCAGGACAGCATCTGCACGGTCGAGTGCGTTCTTGAAGATGGGGTACTGCTCGTACAGCTCGCGACCCATGCCGTACCATTGGGCACCTTGTCCAGTGAAAATGAAACCAATTCGTAGCGCGTCACCCTCCTTTCCGGCGCTGTAGTTGCCAGAAGAGATGGTCTCAATCAGGTCAAAAGATCTCTGTGCTGAGATTGCCACTCTGTGTTGCAGGAGCGATCTGCGCTGGCATAGTGTGTAGGCAAAGTTGCCCATCAAGTCCTTCTGGAACATCTCTGGTCTCTGCTCCAAGTAGACAACCAAGTTCTTCAGGACAGTTTCAAGTGTGTTCTTGTCGTTCGCCGAGAAGACAAACAGCTTGCGGCCAGGGTTATCGTCATTGAGGTCTGCGTCATCCTTAACAGCTCTAGTTGCAAAGGGGACCTTTTCAAGTACGACGTGGGCATTTGTACCGCCAAAACCAAAGTTGTTGACGCTGATGAGTTTCTTGTTTCGGGGCCATGGCCTCTGTGTGACGGGGACCTTGTAGTTCCATTGCTTCCAAGGAATCTTGGGGTTAGGTACTTTGAAGTCGTAGTTGGGCAGGACGAAACCGCGCTCCAACATCATAGCGGCCTTGATGACAGCCACGATACCAGATGCACCCTCCAAGTGTCCAATGTTGGACTTGAGCGATCCCAGGAAAAGCGGATCTCTAGCACCCCGGTCGCCAAAGATGTCGTGGAGGGCAGTCGCCTCAATGGGGTCACCGACTCTTGTGCCCGTTCCGTGGGCTTCAACGAAACCGACGTCTTTGGGGTCCAGGCCAGCATTGTCGTACACTTGCTTCATCAAATCCCCTGCAAGGAACAAGTCAGTGTCATGCCTGGATGTACTGGGGTGGTTTCTATCCTGGAAAAGACTTACTCTGTGCGATACCGCAGGGCATGGTGATACCAGGGGTTCTTCCGTCTTGGTTGATACCGCTTCCGGCAATGATAGCTTTTACATGGTCTCCATCCTTCATAGCCTGGTCCAGCGGCTTCAGAATTACAACGCCGCAGCCTTCGCCACGACCGAATCCGGTTCCTCTATTGTCGAATGAATAAGATCTGCCCGAATCCGAGAAAAGTCTGTAAAAGAGATGTGAGCTCATGTCAAAAGGGGAAAAGGAGTTCCCAAAGACGCTGACCTAGACTTAGCGAAGGAAATGTAAAACTCAGGAAGCATGTTGAGATGACAACCTCCCGTGATTGCCATGCTGGACTCCCCGGTCCGTAGACTCTGGCACGCCAAATGCAATGCAACTAAACTGGAAGAACAAGCGGTATCTGAAGTGAAACTGGGACCCTTGAGGTCAAAGAAATGAGAAATTCTGTTTGACTGCATTCCATATGCACAGCCTAGAAAGTTATCAGCACTATAATCATCATAGCATTTTGTGGGTTCTCAACATACCTGTCGCCTGATGCATAGGGATTGTGTCAGAGTCACGGAATAGATGCGACTCGTACTCTGGAAAGGATCCTCCGATGAACACACCGACGTCCTTGGCCACGATGGATTGCTTGGGGATACCAGCGTGCTCCAGAGCCTCAAAGGTTCCCTCCAGCAACAAACGTTGCTGAGGATCCATCGATATAGCCTCCTTCTCTGTCAGACTGAAAAAGGGAGCATCGAAAGACTCGAGATCAAAGTCCAAAAAGTGGCCACCAATAGGATTGGCACAGCCAGCCTTTCCGGGATTTGGGTGGTGGAAGGGCGCAACGTTGAACCTTTCCTCAGGGATCGTGGAGTAACCACTCCGAGCTCTCGCCAACATCTCCCAAAACTCTCCAGGTGTGGCAACATGACCAGGCAGGCGACAAGACATGCCAACAATGGCAATGGGCATCTGTGGAGGTGTCGGTCGTGACGATGTCGGCGTCGAGGGGGTGGTGGGTGTTGGAGGGCCCTGAGTCGATGCCTCGCTCAGGTGTCCATTTGTCGTACCATTGGTCATCTCGCTGGCATGGCCATTGACCTCGCCGTTGGTGTGGCCATTGGCTTGAGAGGCGACTCGAATCGTCAGGTCGTTCACTGTGCTTGTGGCACCCTCGCCGTTGGTGGCTGTTGGCGCCATAGCTGCAGTCTCTCTATAGTTTGTTTTTTGAACGAGTGATATGTTGGTTTGGAAGAGAAAAGCCTCTTGATCACGACATTGAAGTGAAATATAGAAACTTATATGGCATTCAGCTTGTGGGTCGGTAGCTGTCCGGCTTGGCTGGACATGGACCCCTTTATCTCTGTATATGGCAGGCGCCAAAGGATTGACTACCAATGTCCTGGGGTCCTTGTGGTCGGGAAAATGGGTAAATCTCTCCGAGCTCAGAAAGGGAAGGGAGCAGTGGCTTTGGACCGTGTGTGATCATAGAGGCGGCGACCCTGTGATGCTTGGTCGAGTGTATCGGGAGCAGTAGTAGTCTTGGCGTGCGAGAGACGAATGAGACGAAAACCCACCATGTGCTGCGATTGGCCACGTGCGATTCATTGGCTTCACTCTATTTCTCGAGGACATCAAACTCAGGTACCTGCAGCATGGGCTCCAAAGGCAGCCTCTTTGGGGAGCCGCTTAAGGCATGACATCAAAACGCCGGAGCTGGAGCCCGATTCCGGCAAGAGGTCAAAAAGGTTGCGGACAGCCGGAGGTATAGAATTGTTCGAGATGCCCACAAGTTTTAGAGTTGCAGTGCCGGGATGCATGTGGTATCTCCATGGATGATTACATTAACCGAGAGGCATATCCCATCCATCATCATTGCCCCCCTTGAAAATGACCAGGACGAGTGCAGTGGGCTTTGTTGGTCCATGGTGCGTGTAGGCAGTGTAGGCCCGCTGTCTGCGCATATAAATCCAACGTGCAGGGGTCGAGAGGCACCGCAACTGCGATTGGCTGCATTGGTTGCCGACGAGCCAGGGGTGCGATATGTTGTGATCAGGATCAACTCTATAGTTGCTTTTTGTTATACAGCTAGTCTGTCTCCCCACAACCAATCAAGCTCAAAGGCAAAGAAGCATGTAGACGAGCCAGATTGATCGAGAGTGAGCTTGGCGTATTAACCATAGTGGTTCGGTATGTACCCGCGCGACGAAGAGACTGTAACCATAATAAGCAGTATGGATGCAATGGCCATGTCACCGTACCAGATAACCTGTGACATCAAGATAACGAGAGCGGTCGCTTGTGCAAAGTAGTGGAGGCGTGGTGCGGCTTGGCAAAGAGGTACGGCGCAACGCTGCTGATAACAGACAGGGAGTTTTGGACACATTGGGTCGCAATTGAATGAATCGTATGACAGATGGTGCAGTCGACGGTTTCCATAAAGGTAAGTCCTGGGTTCGAAAAAGCGAAGGCCCGGACGGACTTTGCATGCATGATCTGGCGTTCGGGTTTACATGTGAATGGAGATGGTTGCGAAGAGGAAGAGAAGATTTGGAAGGGTGGTGAAAGAAAAGCTTCCATGCATCTCGTTTCGTCTCGTCTTGTCTCGCCTCGCCTTTTTTTGGTGGAGTGGGGACGGAGAGGTAGTAGGTACGGAGCAGAGAAAGTTGAGGGCTGGGGCAAATCAATCAATTGACGGGTGCACGGTTTGGCGAGTGCATTTCGCTACTTTCTCAGCTACGGGAATCAATCAATCGTTCCTTCCTCCTCTCAGTACACAGTAAAAGCGAGTGTGAGATACATTGAGATAGAGCATTAATGGACATGGCATGGGGGCCGGGCTGCTGAGTGATTGACTGGACCTCAATGATTGCAAGGCACGTCACAGTCACAGGTAGTTCCAGGCTCCATGGCTGGGTCCTGCGGTACCCGACACACGCAATCTAGCCGGCCGCGCTCCTCGGTGACGGTTGTCGGTACTTGGCGGCCAGAAGCCCGTTTGTGGGGGTGGGGACCGCCGAGGGCACTATGATTTTTAGGTGGTTTTAGTGGCTACGTTACCTATCTTTACATTATCCAGGACCGGTAGATACCAAATTGCTATCACAATCATGTACATCGCATTGGTGTCAATCACAAATTAAACATCCTCGAGATTGCTTGGCCAGTCCGATAGGCAGTGATTTGAAATGATCGTCCCGTTTGCCGTCGACAACTCGGCAACCTAATCGTACGTTCCCGTGGTTCGCAGGGGAGAGATCGTCGAGTTGATGCTCAGTAGGTGTAGGTACAGTGACATTCAAAAAGCATCCAAATTGCAAGAGAATTAAAATATAATATCAGATTGATGTTATCACATGTATCATGTACAAACAATATTCCTTCTTTCTTCTTCCAATCTACCTTGGTATGCACCCTCACCATCGATCCTCCATTTGTTCATTCCTCATCTTTCATTTCGCCCGCATCCCCATGCCCTTTTCTTTGGTTGCTTAACCGTCCCAAGTCTGGTCTTGTCACCTTCCGATTGAGTGCGGCCGGGGGGCGTCGCGGTGCTAATCCCCTAATCGCAGGCGGCCGGCCACCCGCTCCCCTCCCAGACTCGCTAAGACCCACCCACACAAGCTCACGAGCAAAACAGAGCCTCACCACACTTACCAGTCTCGGCGCGAACCCCGGAAACAAAGTCCTTGATTCGACCTCGACTTGTCTGACATGGTCGATCACCAGCAATTCGTATTTTATTTCCACCGCACCAAAACTTGTTTGAACAATATGACTGGCTGTCTACTAGTCACTGCCTTCTCCCTATACCTCAAACCGTCGGTACTTCCCATCTGGCCCTCCCTCGCCGCCCGTACCTCATGTTTCGACAATCTGACACAAGGGAGTCAAGTACCCTCCCTAATCCGTGTAACGGGGTCGTCTCCACATTCTGTTTTCCAACTGCTAGGTCCGCTTACGCCCGCTTACCTGCCCAAGTTTGGACGCGGGAAATCTAGACTACAGGTAGGCCCCTACCAAAATTGGTATACTCAAATCATTTCAGGCAAAACTCGCAGGTGCAATGAGTGGGCGGCTTTGCGCCAATTCGGTCATTGAAACCAAGAAAACAAAAAGATTTCGAGATAGATTGATTGCACTGCTATGACTTGAAGACACCGTTTCTTTATTAGACTTTATTTCTCAATCTGCCACTTACCTCTTACCTACTAGAAACATACATAGATAACCTAGTACCTACATAGGCAGCATTATCTGACCCGGTACCCCTTGCCCCAGCTTCATGTTTACACGTGCATGTGACTGTACATATCGAAAGGACCTCCCCGTCGCAACATTTGAGCTGAGGATGAAGCTGAATATCGCTTCACCAATCTGCCGTTCCCTCACTTGTTGATTTTTACCTTTCAGCTCGGTAGTCGGCACTCTCCTGCAGCTTGGCCACTTTCATCCCGACTTGACCTTCCAAGCAATCTTGTTTCTTTCTTCCAATTGTGTTCTGCGATCTATACTGCCATACTATACTATACCCATCCAACATGAAGTTCCTCTGTCTACCCGGTGCGTATGGCAGTGCGGAGGTAAGATGAAATCACGTCATTGGAAAATATGGATCTACTTATACTAACCGGGTCCCCAGAAATTCAAGGTGCAGCTAGGTACGACACCTTACAAAAACAAGAATCCAGTTTTGCTCATCATGTTGAAAATGAGGCTGACATGTAACTTTTCTCACAGCGCCTCTCGTCAAGGAGTTGACTTCTGACAACTCTGCCGAGTTTCGCTTCATCGATGCGCCATGCGAGGCGGTCCCTCCAAAGGGCTTCGAAGACTTCTTCGGCAAGCCTCCATACTACCGCTTCATCGAGCCCGATGACAAGACGAGCGAGGAGACCGATCCCCTCTCGCGCATCCGCGACTTCCCCGAGTGCGACACGCCAGAGGAAACCATGCGCGAGCTCATGAAGGAGGGCGTCGCCAGCTGCGTGTTGAGCACCATTAGCGCCATCCAGTTCCTGTTCAAGATCATGGAGGAAGAAGGCCCTTTCGAGGGCATCATTGGATACTCTGAGGGTGCCACCATGGCGGGAACCTTGCTCTTGGCCGAGCAGAGGAGGAAGCAGCTCGAGGGCTACGAGCCCATGATCAAGTGCGCCATCTTCTTTGCTGGGTGGCCACCTCTGGACCCGCAGACTTTTGCCATGGTCCTATCTGATGAGACCGACACCATGATTGACATTCACTCGTGCCACATCAGTGAGTCAATTTTATTCATATCATTTTCTGCAAAGGTTGTCAAAAGTATTGTATACTGATAAGTCATCTATAGTCGGATCGCTGGACCCGTACGTGGGTGGCTCCTTGGCATTGTACAATGCTTGCGACCCTGATATCGCTTACATGTTTGACCACGGCAAGGGACATACCCTGCCGAGAGATGCAGCCGTTATCAAGGAGCTGGGTGATGTGGTGAGAAACATGATCACAGAGGCCACGGGAGCCAATGACGAATAGATTAGGGTATACAGATTTAGGTGTTGTCTTTTTGTTCCTATTTCTCGATCGCATTATCAGGTAACATGTCTTATTGGCGTTGATAGATTGCAAATAATATCTCAGCTAAAAACCTCGATTCCATGATCTACCGAAAGATATGCTACTTTGATAAGTGAGATAGTGACAGATAGTTGAATAAGCATTACGGTATCTCGCTCGGCACTTTTTGCGATTTGTATAAAGTGGTTGAGGGTGATCATCCAGATGAAATAGAAATGAAACGGTAGATTTAATATATTCGATCTACAACCTTAATCTGCCGGACTCCATAAAATCAATCAACTGAAGTTTCCCTGTTTAGTTCATCGTTGCGAACTGGTAGCCGTTCTCAAGAGCCGCGCGCATCAGCGATGCATGCGCCATTAGCCTGTTCGTCATCAAAAGCGGCCCAGCATAGAAGAGGGAGCCATCGGAGGGCAGCGGAGCTGATGGTTCCGAAGTAATATTTTTATTTTCTTTTTCTCTATTTCATTGACAATATACTTGGTAAAAAAGCGGAATAAGGCTTTCACAAGGACATAGGTCCAATTGAAAAGCATGATTACACAAGCCAAGACGAGCATGTGTTCGGTTTTAAGTGACGGAAGTGGAAAGCCAGAGTTATAGCCGTCACATTAAGATTGTATAGGGAAGCCCGTCAGCGCCACCCCTGCATTCGGCAGTCCGATAAGGGTGATCGACGCGCGCCCGGCTAACACTGGCCAACCCCAAGCCAGGGCACCTAGTATATGCCAAGACGCCAGTAAACTCATGGGGATGGGCAATCAAGACGAAGCAGCAACGTTCCTGCAGAAAACAGACGAGTGGGAAGAAAAACACAACAGAGCCACTGCGGAGGCATAAACAGCGAAAGGCTTAGAGACACGTCTTTTGCCCATGTCCATGTTCCCACTTTCCACCACCCCCCCGGCCTTTCCGTCTTCCATTCAGGCATCAGGCGACCGAACAATTTGGCACATGGGCATTCCCAAGGCTTCCTCCCCGTTTAATATCGGCGAGCGGGCAGGTGGGCCGCTCAATATGGATGATGCAGCCCTCTCTCTGGGTCAGCTTGGAAGACTCTCTACCCAGATGTGCCTTAAGGTAAACCAATTGCCCCCTGGAGCAGGTTCTCTGCTCCTCTAGACTGTTTGCTTTCACTCTTTTCCAGGTTCTGCGCTCCAAAGGAAGTTCTGGACCGCCAAGAAAGAAGAGAGAGTGAGAAAAGTTTCCTTTCATTTGCCCCCAGTTGAGATAATACTTTCATTCATTCGCTCGCTTGGCATAGGCATGCCATCATAACTTGCATCAACCATGCAACATGGAGTTTACGGGGCCCGATGATCGGCCTAACAGGGGGAGAGCAAGACAACGGCAGGCCATCTACAACACCTCGCCAATTGCATCTACCTCGGTACATGCAAGGAAGACTTCTGAGCAGTCCTTTCTCTCTCTTAGTGATTCTAGTACAGAGACTCTTCACGTATCCGAGTCTGATAGAGAGCTCCCGCCGAGTGGTGGTGATGCTGTCGTCGCTCGCGAGGCAAGGACGCCGCGACCGTCGAGAACTCAGCGGAACATCTCGACGGAAAGGCTTTTGACCTCTGCCGCCCCTTACCCTGGAACCTCGGCGCGGAGGGTGTCCTTCTCGAGGCCCTTCTCCCCTGACAGGCCACCACCACCAACATCGCCGTCGCTGGGAGGAACATCAACAGTGACGGCGACAACATCGTCATCATGGCTCAAGCCACCGCCTACATTGGTGGATGCTCACCTATCGCGAGACTTTCGTCGCCAGACTAGTGACACAACACTAGACATTATCGATGACTACCTGTCGCCACGAGACTCGGTCAAGCCAAAGACCAACTCAGTTGTATCTAGGCTGTCTGTTGAATTTGCACCAGAGTCTGTCGGCTTTTCTAGGGCGTATCGCCCCGTCGAACCTCTCCCAAGGATGTTTTCGCAGAGGAAAAGGGCCCGCGATTTTCAGAGTCCCTTGTCCCCGGTCGAATCCGTTTCTGGTATGAGCGCCTCGCCCACCACCCCCAGGACTCCCAGAACCCCCGGGACCCCCAAGCCGCTACCACCACTGCCATCGCCTCCTGCTCCATCGACGCCGGTCATCAAAGAGTCTCTCGTGGAAGACGAGGAAGAGATGCCAAAATCTCAGGATGTTCCAGGTTCTGCCCCACCACAAGAAGAAAACAAGGAAGCACAGCCACAAGACGAGTCAATTGAAGCACCACAAGAGGAACCAAAAAATCTTATCGCTGGCAGAGGCGGAAGGGGCCGGGGTAGGGGAAGAGGTAGAGGAAGGGGAGGAAGAGGTGGTCGGGGTGGCAGAGGGGGAGCTTTGGCTGCTGCGGCTGCCCCAGACACTGAGGGAGAACCGGTAGCTGAGGGTGCAGATGTCGTTGTTGCAGCTGAGGGTGCTGCTGTCGCTGTCACAGCACGAGGCGGCGGTATGAGAGGCAGAGGACTACGAGGAAGAGGAAGAGGTGGTAGAGCAGGGAGAGGCGGGAGAGGCGGCGCCCGAGGCGGTGCAATCATGGCGAATGATGCATCTAATGACCCAGAAGAGGCAGCGGTTGTGAATGAAAAAGAGAAGGACAGTGAGAAGAAGGACGATCCGCAACCTGTGGGTGAACTCAAGGGGAAGAAACCGGGGCAGCTGCCTCCAGGACCCATGAATGATCCAGCCAAGAGGAAAAAAATGAAGAAAGCCCAACAGGGACAAACATTCAAAGACTTTCTTGTGAGTTCCCGACTTATCCAAATGATTGAGTACTTGATAAACTAACGACGCGCAGAGAATCTTTGCTTATACCACCAAGCGAGATCGCTTCTTCATTTCTGTAGCCGTAATTGGCGCAATTGGTGCCGGGTTGACATATCCAGCGCAGACTATTGTTTTTGGAAACATGATAGGCGAGCTCACCTCGAGCAACTACGTCGGGCAAACGGCGGATGAAGTGACAGCTTATATGACCCATGTCATTCATCAGAGCGTGTAAGCAAGAACATCAATGGCCATCTAAAAGATTCGCAATACTCACTTATCTTAGGCTGTACATGGTATACATTTTTGCCGTGAGGCTTACATGTGGATACATTGCAACAGTGAGTTTTTCCTCGGCCTTTAATAGCCTAATCTTCTAACTTGTGATGTCTAGCTTGGGTTCAATGTCATGAGCATAAGAGTTGCCTCGACATTGCGATTGGCTTATTTGAAAGCCCTCTTGTGTCAACGTGTATCATTGTTGGACACACAGCCACCAGGTTCATTAGCGGCGATCATTACAAGCACGGCGAACACCATGCAGACTGGCATATCTGAGAAATTTGCAATGCTTATTCAGAGCATCTCTCTCATCATCGCTGCATTGATCAACGCTTATTATCACAGCTGGAAGCTTGCCCTGATAACGAGTAGCGGTCTCCTTTTGATCATTCTCTGCTATTGTGTTACCACGCCATTTGTGGTCAAGAATCAGAAGAAGGTTGAGCAGATGAATATCAAAGCTTCAGGAGTGGCAAGCGAAACTTTCAGCGCCATGCGAATGATTGCAGCCTGTGGCGCAGAGACAAAATTGATCAAGAAATACGATGAGTGGGTATCGAAATCACGAGCGATTGGCATGAAGATGTCAAAGATTGCCGCAATTCAAAAGGCCACAAGTATGTGTAACTCTATATCCTGAACAAATTGGACATCTCGCTGACATTCTACAGTCTTCTTCAGCGTTATTGGCACTTTTGCCATTTCGTGTTGGTACGCTGCCAAGATGATCATCAGCGGAGAAATTCCAAACAACAGCATTCTTATCATGTGAGTTGAGAAGTACGTAGCTTATTTTCGGTACCAAGCTAATTTTGTTTTGTTTAGCGTCCTCATGAGCATTTTGATGACAATCAATGCGATTGGAAACGTCGCGCAACCTATATCTGCTGCTTCGCGGGCGGCGCATGCGGCAAGAATTCTCTACAACGGCATTGATGCGCCAAAGCCCAAGCAGACAGGGAAGACAGCCCCGGAGGTCAGCGCTGCAGAAAGAATAGTGCTTTGGAATGTCAACTTCACCTACCCGTCGCGCCCAAAGCACAAGATCCTTGATCAACTTAAGTTGATTATTCCTGCTGGCAAGGTGACGGCGATCGTGGGGCCTTCTGGCTCAGGCAAAAGTACAATTGTGAATCTGATTGAGCGTTGGTATGAGATGGACGGGGCTGCGACTGGCAACAAGCTCGTAAGTGTTTCCTAATCTGGTAAACTTTCGCTGAGAAATGGCTGAACTTACAATTATGAAAGGTGCAATACTTTCGAAACGGCAACGTGCGCTGTGGCGGCGTACCCCTGCACGAGATCGACATGAAGTGGTGGAGGTCGCAAATTGGCCTGGTCCAGCAGGAGCCTTTTCTTTTCAACGACACCATCTTCAAGAACATCTCCCACGGATTGATTGGGACTGAATGGGAAGATGCCGACGAAGAAAAGAAGAGAGAGTTGGTGAGACAGGCGTGTACGGAAGCTTTTGCCGACGAGTTCATCTCCCGGCTTCCCGAGGTAAGTGGATGGTCTCCAATTTGGTACATTTGTATACTAAATCAATTACAGGGCTATGACACGCCAGTTGGAGAGGCTGGCGGCAAGTTGAGTGGTGGTCAACGCCAGCGACTCGCCATTGCAAGAGCCATTGTGAAGCAGCCCAAGATTTTGATTCTGGACGAAGCGACAAGTTCAATTGACGTGCGTGGCGAGAAGGTGGTACAAGCCGCCTTGGACAAGGTATCCAAGGGTCGCACGACGATAATGATTGCTCACAGGCTCTCAACGGTAAAGAATGCAGACAAAATCATCGTCATGAGCAAGGGCAAAGTCGCTCAAGAGGGTACACATCAACAGCTTATGGCCAAGAAAGATGGCCCTTACTGGCTCTTAACGCAAGCGCAGCAACTGACGTTGAGCGAAGAGAAACATGAATCTCATAGTGACACTGCCGACACTGCAGTTTCAGATGATGAGAAGCGTACCATGGACCTCATGGAGAAGGGCGAGGGAAAGAGAGACACCTACACGACCAAGAATGAAGATGAGTATCAAGAGGCGCCCAAGCCTAGAGGATTGATCAAATCTTTTGGTCCGTTGCTTGGGGAGCAGAAAAAGCACTGGATATGGTACTGCATCATGTTCTTTGGAGCTATCATGGCTGGAGGTAAGGAGTCCCCCTAAAGCATTAAAGGACCAATTTGTTGATGCTGATTTCCAATTTAGCGAGCGCGCCTCTTCAGGCATATCTTTTCGCTGCTTTACTTACCTCTTTCAATCTGGGGGTATGGTATTTGACCCAGCTGACCAATTTCTGGTGTCTCATGTTCCTGATCCTTGCGGTATGCGTCGGATTTGGATACTTTGCGTTGGTCTTTGCCTCGACGCGCATCGCATTCGTGAGTATAACCCTAATATGGCAAGAGATAGTTGCTGACCCAGACTAGATCATTACAACTTCTTACCAGCTTGAATATTTCAAGAATATGATCTTGAAACCAGTATCTTGGCATGATAAAGAAGAATCAAAAGAGGGAACTTTGACGCAACGTCTGGCAGCAGATTCTACAGCCCTTCAGCAACTGCTCGGCAACAACATGGCTTTTGTCACCATTGCTATCCTGAGCATCTCCGGTTGCATGGCTATAGCATTCTATTTCGGCTGGAAATTGACGGCCGTTGCCCTGTCCTGCGCAATGCCCCTGGCTATTGCCGCTGGTTTCTTCCGCTCTCGTGTTGAGAAAAAGTTCCAGAAGCTGAACACCAGAGTGTTTGCCGAGAGCGCACAGTTTGCCACCGAGGCAATGGGCGCCATCCGTACCGTCACAGCCCTCACTCTTGAAGACACAATCAGTCGGAACTATGATAAGATGCTGTCCGACCATCTTCACATGGCATATAAGAAAGCTAGAGTTGCTACACTTCTTTATTCCGCCAGCGAATCTGTACCACTACTTTGTATCGCATTCATTCTTTGGTACGGCGGTGGTCTCTTGATCAGTGGCGAGTATATATCTTTCCAGTACCTGGTAGTGTACTTGGCCGTTGTGCAAGGTTCACAGGGAGTGGGCCAGTGGTTGAGTTTTGTGCCCAATATTTCGCAAGCAAGGGTGGCAGCGAATCGCATTCAGGAAGTGCGAATTAGGGAAATCGACCCTGACAAGGGTATCAGGCTCGATCATCCCGTTATTGATTTTGATCACAAGGATGAAGATGTCACTGGACCAAAGATCGAGCTGCAGGATATTTGGTTCAAGTATCCCACTCGAGATATGCCAGTTCTTTGCGGATTGGACATGACGATAGAAAGCGGCCAGTTTGCTGCCATCATTGGCCCATCTGGTGAGTTATACAATTTTACCATGCACCTGACTGGTTTCGACTAACAGCAGAGTAGGATGCGGCAAGACAAGCGTCATTTCAATCCTCGAACGGTTTTACAGCATCAAATCTGGTAGTGTCCTGATGGACGGTGTTGATATCGAAGACATCAACATTGGAGACTATCGCAGAACCATGTCACTTGTGGCACAAGAGCCATTCATGTTTCAGGGAACCATTCGCGAAAACATTCTTTTTGGAGTCGACACAGATAAAATCTGCTGCGACCATGAACTGCATCGAGCGTGTCGTGACGCTGAAATTCACGACTTTATCATGTCCTTGCCGGAGGGATACAACACCAAGGTCGGATTCAAGGGAATCCTACTTTCTGGTGGGCAGAAACAGCGCATGTCCATTGCAAGGGCACTGATCAGGAATCCACGCCTGCTCCTCCTGGATGAGGCAACCTCTGCTCTCGATTCTGAGACTGAGCAATTAGTGCAGGGCGTCTTTGAGCGGACCAAGAAGTCCCGGACCATGGTGGTTGTCGCCCACAGGTTGGCGACGATCCAGAATGCCGACGTCATTTTTGTTCTTGGAGAAGGTAACGTGGTGGAAAAGGGAACACATGCGCAGCTATTGGCTAAGAAGGGCATTTATTGGAGCATGTGTCAAGCGCAATCTTTGGAGTAAAACGGTTACCATAGACGGAAGGGGCCGTCCATTTCGACAATACGTCGTTTTCTTTGCCTTTGTATTAAGAAGCCCATGTACATCAGGAATGCATTAGAAATTAGACTAATGAACTCAATCAGTGAGGGGATACTTTGTAAATATGTGGACGTGAGTGACGGCAAGTCGCATTCAATTCTTTTCGAATGCTAGTATTGACCATAGCTAGCATTGCAACCGAATCAGGGGGTCAAATGAATTCTTATGTAACTTGGTTGAATTTGACTAATTGGATATACTAGGTTATAGCTATGCTTAAGCATTACTCTCTGACCCAAGAGCATCGTAAATATTCTTATCGTCAATCTTCTTCTCGCGCCCCGCACCTCCCGTGCTGCCGGCCGGCATACTATCCATGGCCTCAAACTTTCTCTCGGCCAGGTAGGCGGGGTCAGCTTCGGTACCGTACTGGGTGAAGCTGGCATTTTCACCCGTCAGATTGTTATCCTCGTGCAGATTCTTGCCATGCGGGCCGTTGCCCGACAGACGGCGGCGGCCACCACCACTGCTGCTGCCGCTGCTCGTTTGGGTCTGCCGGGACTGCTGCTGCTGGGATCCTAGCCCGCGCGAAGATGACTTCTGCTGCTGCTGCTGCTGCTCAGTGTGGTGATGGGTGTCGGCCGTGATGCGGCCCGTGGCATTGTCCCGGGCCTGGGTGCTGATGCCGCCCGAGGTGCGGTGGCTAGTGCCGCTGCTGCCGCTCATGCCCATGCTCATGCCCTCCTGGGGACGGTTCGAAGAGCGAAATTCGGAAGAGGACATTTCGTTGGACGACTTGAAGGCGGCGGATTCGGCGGCCAGGGAGCCGGATTCCACGGCGCCGACGCCCTCGTGGCTCATGGGCGCTTTGCGGCCCAGGTCGACCTTTTGGCCGTGGGTGGGGTTCTTGTTGGAGGGAGCCATGGTGATGAAAGGTTTTTGGTGTTGAAAGGGTTGTGGTGGTTGTTTTGCGTGGAGTTGACGTGTACAGTAGTCAACAATACAACTTTCGTTCCGGAATATTTTCAGAACGAGCTTTTCAAGATATCTCTCGGAGTGCAAATTGTGTTTCCTTGGGACCAAAACCTTCTCCTCATTGTGCTTCTCGTCCTTATATAAGCGACCAGTGCCAATAAGCTATAAGCTTGAAGAAGCTCTACGCCATGACATCATGGTCTCTCCGGACGTCACGGCGCTGCGAAAAAGCTCGAGTGAAGTCATCAGGCAGCTCTAGACAACTTTTGCCAGTGACTGTTGGTTGCACTTCCTTGTGCGCACGGCAGAAGAGAGTCGATATGTGCTGCTTCTGATGCTGATGCAGGAATATTGGGTCTCGAATTGTGGGTAGGACGCCAACGTTGTATTATACTTGGCTGATCATGAACGGCCGGAGCTTTCCTTCCAGCTGTTTGTGGGGAGCTTAGCAGGGGTCTGGCACTCTCTCTACCTTCCTTTGAATAGGTATGCTACTACCAATGCGCTCAATCTACACAGCTAAGCATAAACATGAAGGATTGACGACAAAAACACACCAATCTCAAGGCAGCAGGGATTTCATCTTCTCCAATTAAATATCAAGGACTCCCAGTTTATGATGTATTTGATCTCACCGCACTGATGCCTAGTACGTGTATACCACCTCTTCCTAACATTGGAAAGGAGGGGGGAGAGCGCCAGCGTCTGAAGCCGCCTGCAAGGCCTTGCTTGTTGCATACAAGCCTCCGATGCAGATGAACGCTCCCAAAAGGATCGTCAGAACATTGATGAACACCATGGTGGGTCTCTCTGCCCAAGCTCGCCATCCGCCCTTGGAGTAATAATAGAGATGGAGCATAAACGCGCCGGCCAACCCGTATGTGTACCAGGCAGCAAACAGCGAGGCAGCTATTCCGACAAGATAATTAAAAATAGGAATCCCTACTGCCAAGATAAAGGCTGCGACGTTGGCCAACACGATCAAAAAGGTCCACACGCCCCATCCCGTGACCGTGTGCGAGTGTATGTGCCGACTGCGTCTGAAGAGACGGACGAATACAAGCTTTGCTGCTGTGTGGCTGTACAGGCTGCCGGCAATCAGAAAGTTGGGAATTGCCAGCCCAAAACTAATCTTGGACCACAACGGACTCAGACTGAGGAAGCTTGGGCTAGCCACACCCGGCCCAATGTACCAGTATGTGACGACGGCGAATACAATGTAGAAGGAGGTAGCCACGATCTGAAGCGTCCAAGCTGCTTTCATTGCATCACGCGGATTTTTCATCTCGGATATCAGAATGAAGAACATAAAGTGTCCTGCATACGCAAATACTGGATTCGTGATGCTGATAAACGCCGAGGTAAAGTCGGTCGTGACCGTGATGGCAACATTGCCGGGGTCGACGGGTACGACGCCAGCTCCAATAATACCAACAATGCCGGCCACGATGATGGATACGCCCCCGAGGATAGACAGCCAACCCAAGTTCCCCAAGGTTCGGGGGAAGCTGAGCACGGTCACAGCCGCTGTGAAAATGCCGGTAAACGCCAGTGCACACAGCTTGTTTCCGGACAGAACGCTCAGTGCAAGCTGCCCAGCCAGAAGCTGGCTGCCCGTGGCGAACACGGCAAAGATGACAGTACCACCACCCAGGATCTCTCTCCCAACTGGCCCAAACATGATCATACCGGCATCACCCATGTTGTGCACTTCGGGATGCTCAAGCTTGAACTTGATCAGGGCCCAGGCTGTGTAAGTTGCAAAGGCGCCGAGGAAGAAGATGACTACAACGCCAGGCACGACGCCCACGGCAGCCAGGCTGCTGGGAAGGGTCAGCATGCCATTTGAGACAATCTCGGTGATCATTATGACGGCTACGACTGGCCAGCTCAGCGTCTTGTACTTGATGTCGTGGTCCCGCTCCTCGCCGAATACGTCGTCAATGTAGCCCGGCCCCGTGTATCCACCATGCCCGTATTGTTCCGTCCTCGACGGCGCAGCGGCGAACCTCGGACTGGTCCCGGCATAATTGGGATAGTCGGCCTCGCCGCCGCGGATCTCGCCCGTACGGTAGGCCTCGTACCTCATGACGGGCAGCCGGAGGGGAGAACTTGCTCAGCTTTGGGTAGCGGGCCGAGGCAGCAGAATGCCACTCAGCTGAAATGCTACAATGCACTGATTGTAATCCTGGCTGTACTGCGCATCAGAGTCCAGACAATGGATGTCACTAATGGGCGTCACGCCCCGGATACCGAACCAGGTCAAGACCTCCGACAAGCGAATGTGTCAATCAGAACTTTTTACGAGAAAGAATGCCGTGGCAATGTACTTGGTAACCAAGTCACAGTTACTTTTCTTTTTCCCCCTTGATACTGGATTTGCCCATGCTCCCCTTCCCGACTTGCAAAGTGGCTGAGGGCGAGCGGGGAGAGCCCCGCGCGTGATTATGTCTCGCAACGCTCGTTGATCTTGTCCATGTTGCTTTGGCCGCCCCTCCCTGGCTGGCGATATGCATGCTGGTCGTTTATGCGGGGGCTTATCTCATGCCAGCTCAGTGCAAGACTGGTTCTCATTGGATCGCATGGCGAGTGCGTGTTAAGCACTGCAAGGTATCACCACTGATTGAAGTTGCAAGGCTGCCACGAGGCAACTGGGGGCATTTTTTGCCCACTGTTTTTTGATAACGAAAATCTTTCTTTGGCGGTCGCCAGCTGCAAGCCAAAAGGGGTGTGCCGTCATTTGGCTGAAACCCCGACGGCAGCACACGACCATGCCTATTGTAGACGGACCTCCTACCTACTTCCTATTTAGGCAGGACCTTCTTGTTTCTACCAAATCAGCATCCGCATCGATACAATCGTGTCAAGAATAGAAAGACTATCGGCGTTGGAGGGGTGGACGAGGGTATCTTTTACAAGATGATGTAACCAGATCTAAACCCCCGGTGCTCCGTCGGCTTTGTGTCATGATTGCTACACTTTCACGTGTCCTTTTGAGTTGCGTGCCCCGTCGTGTGCCTGGGTGCAACCCTTGTTGAGATAATACCTTCCAAGATGCTAGATGTGCGGCCGGCGGTAACCATACGAGTCTCTGGCCCGCAAGTCTGGTCCCGGCCGAATGGTTCTACCGGCCGGTGTCATGAGCCGCCGCCGAGCGGTAGGTACTGGCCGTATCCAGTATGCTGTTCATTAATCCGACATCCTTTGGTCAAACGGCTGTCGGTGACAGGGCAATGAAATTCCCATTACGGTATATCGATGCGAAGAAAATAAGCATCTGCCAAGTTAATGTTAATCTCATCTCATTATGCTTAATCCAGCCGCTTCAGGATGGTGATGATGCTCAGTTCCTAAAAGACATAGCTTGAACCTTTTCTGCTGTGCCATCGTTGCTCGCACAATGCATGAGGTCAGCCACAAGCCATTGACAAGTTGTTCCATGTATCTTACAACCCAAAGCACCATTTTGGTATATCGCTGTGCCTGGATTGTTGCAGTGCGGCCATCTGGCTTTCCAGGTCGATCATCGAGGCCCTTCCACTTGGCTTGGTTGAGCAACAGGAAGCACGTCGAGCAATCATGGGAAATGTGTGCACGATGAAATCTCCTCCCGCGGCCATAGTGAATCTTACCTTGAGGTCAACTCAAGCAAAGATCTCAATTCAAGCGATGCACAGAGTACAGCCGGTGGCCTGTCGCGGATGTAATGCACCATGGTGTCAAGTATTCTTGTACACTTCCTATATTTTCCAATATTGGAACAGATAGAAGCCAAAATCCTGATCTCCTCGGATATACAGATGATGCGCTGTCTTTGGTTTCTCCTCGCAAGGTGAACTTAACAGTGCCAACCGCTTGTTGCTAGCGACTACTAGCCCCACATCTATAGGGCATCTAGCAAAAATTGTTGCTACTGGCCCTAATGCGCCCGAAGAAAAGTATAGGCTCTATACAGAGTATACTCAGAGCGAAGGATCAACCACAAAAAGATCAAGGGCAAAAGAATAATTTGGAAATCAGGTCAGTCGGGGATTCGAACCCCGGTTACCGGAATGCTTCCGTGAAAGATCTCGAGAACTAGACCTGAAATCAGAATCCGATGTGATAACCAACTACACTAACCGACCGTGTGTTTCCTTGTTGTTGAAAATTTTCGTTGCTAACACGATCTATGTCTGTGGGCCTATGGATTCCGCTTGAGCTTTCAAGTGATTAATGGGAACATGTGTCTGGGCGACCGATTGAGTCAGAATCCAAGATCGGTGATGCTGGTGAGTGGGTCAAAGAAGCCCATTTCCTCGGTCCGAGAACCGAAGAAAGCCACCAAGGACCATGTGAGCAAAGGGCGCAGCAATACATTGTTCGAAATCTGGTTGACTCGAAATTGAAAAGATGTTGAAGACAGGATGGATGGGGTCTTGAATAGGTTAAAAGGGGGCAGCAGTACACACGCTCAGTATTCTAGCTAATAACATGGCAATAGAGCGGATGAGGGGCCCAAACCAAGCGGGCATCGGAGGGGCCACGCTTATCGTAAACCCCACAAAATTAGCATCCGATCATCAATGGGGCCGCCGATTCAGTTCTATTCATTCATTCATTCATTTACTTCTTTCTCCGCCCGTTGACCACCCGGTCAAATAGCAAGCCGCCCAGCGTGGCCTCGGTGACATGTCTCTTGTTCTTCCGGTCGTCTTCTCTACCCACCAGCATGGCCGTGCCCGCGGCGCCCGCCGCAGCCGTCGCGATCCTCCCCAAGCGCGCCCCGTCGTGTCTCGATCTCCATCCCTCAATGAGCCCGGCCCCGACCGCGGCCTCGGTGGCCTGCCTCCAGTTCGATCGGCTCGCCGAGCGCCCTCCTCGATAATGGCTCCGGTCGCGCGAACGGCTGTGGTAGTAACCCCGGGGCGGCTCTGAGTAGACGGATCGCCCGCGACCGCGCCCGCGTTGTTGCGGAATCTCGTCCACGTCCTCTTCGTAGTAATAGTCCACGACATCGTCTCGGCGTCTCGAGGACCGATGGCGATGCGACGGGCGTTTCTCCCGGTAATAGTCGTCATCGTCGCTTGAGTAGTAGTGATCTTCGTCGTCATCATAATCGTCATAATGTCCGCGCCGCCGTCGGTCGTCGTAGTGATGCGAGGCGCGACGTTGCCGGCTCTTGGATCGCGAGCCCGGCAAAAAGGCCCCAATGGCGTCCTTGACGCGCCCGCGCTCTAGATTGTCGAGAAAGGTGTCTCTCCTGGACAGCGAGCGCCGTGGCGGCGGGCTCGGGCTGGGGCTGGGGCTGTAGTATCGCCCAGAGCGTCGATCATGATACGACATGGTTGCTTGGTCAGTTCAAGTTGAATTCGAGAGTGGTAAGAAGTGTGTAAATGCTCCACGGTTGCTTTGAAACTCGACCAATGTTTGTACAAGGACGTTCAAAATCAAGTCAGAAAAGACACCGTATATCTTTGATTCCAATCTGCCTATGGCATTTTTATTATTTTTAGCGGCACCTCTCACACAGCATGGGATCAGGATCCGACTGTTTTTAGCGGCGGCAAATCAAAATGGTTTTCAAGACTCATGTATCACCATCCTCGCCATCCTTTCCGTCCTACAACATCCCAAAGCGGTAATCAACCATGAATATCGGCGTGCTGTGGGGCAGTTTCCGAGATCTCTCTGACGCAATTCTGACAAAACCCAAGTCACAAGTCAGCCCAAGGCAGAAATTTGTGCACACCATGTGCCTAGTCCCGGGAACGAATCGTTCGGAGTTTTTAGTGAGCTGCGGCTCCGTCAGGGCGGACAGTGTGACGGTGCAGTCTTGCCATGATGTCGGCGGCGGGTCAGAGTTAAATCATTTTTCCTACACGTGCTCAGCAAAGTAGTGCATGGTAGTAGCACTTGTCCTGCTCAATCTGCGGATATGCTGACAGTTTCTCCAAATACACAAGCCTCACTTGATATCGATTCCAAACAGATGGTATAATTCCAATTGAAAAAAAAAAAAAACACAAGCCCGTTGGTCAGCAGTCTACATGTGAACTTTTGACACGATTTAAACATAATTTTTGCATTTTCTTTTTCCCTAGCTTTGTTGCCTTGTGCTATCAAGCAAAGGGCCATATAAAATGGTTTTGTTGCGCCTCAAGCTAGCCGTTTAGACAGACCCAGGCGACTCCCAGGGCTGAAAAGCCGACAAACTATATGCCATGACAGGTGTCAAACAGAAAAAAAAAGGCACAAAGGTTTGTTTCGAATCAGCCGCACCACGCAAACCACTTTGGTCAATTGACCAACGATTCTGCCCAGCACTGTCGCTCCATACACTGCCTTGATTTTACTTGAACCTTGATCAAAGTCAACCTAGGCTATGGGTGTTTTAGAAGTTCCTTGGTGGCTGAGAACAGAAAAGCCATTGCTCTAGAACCTGATGATTTTTCTGTTTTATGCATCAATTATGGTCTCTCGGAATGACGTACTTCCAATCCCGCTGGAATATTTGCTCGTCTTGTTCCAAGGCCTCAATTTCCATGGTCAGATGCCACTCTGTCGCCGTAGCGGACATGGTTGTCAGCCCATTGAGGACCAGATCGAGACCACTACGACCAAAGTCTTGACGAAACTTCATCTGTGCCCGCCCCGATAATGGGTCGTCGGGCTTGATTCTTGTTACAATTTCAGTGCACTCGCCAAATCGCCAGCCCGTCTCCTTGATTTCGCAGAGACCAATGTCGGTGTAGTATGTTGCTGTCATCTCGCCCGTCGCAAGGTCCTCGGTGATGGTGTTCTTGCTACTCCCTTCACGCAATTGGATCGTTTCGAGTGGCGCAGCATTGACGGCCGGCTCAAAAGGCTTCAGCTCATCATCCATTGGGTTGCCTGTTCGGATAGGCAATTCCAACTTGCTCTCCGCGCAATCAATGGTCAAGGTGGCCGCCTCGGGCGACGGCCAAACCGTGGGGAAATAAGACGTAGAGAGCGCGAGTCGTATCACGCTTCCCGCACCAATGCGCTGGCAGCACTCGTTCATCCTGACCGTGATATTGTAGTAGGTGCCCGGCTCAAGCGCTTTGAGGTCGGTGTGGCCGTCGCGGTGCGTCAGGTTGAGCACGCCGTAGGTAAGCCTCGTAGCGGAGCCGTCGGGCAGGACTTCGGATAACACTGCAGCCACGAGCGCTTGAGGCTTGTCACTCGCGACTCGAAGTCGAACCAGTACGGCCCCCATGATATCCAGGGGCTCGCTCAGAGGCTCTCTATCAAAAACCAAGGAGCCGTGGGCGTCTCGCCGTTGATCACCAGCAAGGTCCGCGCCGGAGCCGTAGGGCAGCCAGCGGCCGGCTCCGAAACCGACCGTCTGCGGCGAGCAAATGGACAATTTAGCATCGCTCTGATATGCGCCGTCCACAAGCCGCTTTGGCACAAGGCCCATGATTCGAGGTGTAACTCCGGGGCTAGGCCATGCATTTTCGGCCACCCACTGACCAGGACGGAAATCATAATGGCGCTGTGGTTGAATACTGCTTTGCTGATAACATCGAAAGATCGGATCGTCCATGACGCCCGTTTCAATCCCCTTGAGCCACTTGTCCCACCAGCGAAGTGACTCTTGGAGAAATCCGACACGTGGCTTTGGGTAGGCAAAATTCGGCCAGCTATGCGCCCAAGGTCCTACGAGTGCCTTCTTGGGACAACATTGGAGGCGTTCCAACATGCGAAAGATTGAGTTGTGGTACGGGTCCTGCCACCCGCCCACCAGATAGGTAGGGCATAGGATGGCACTATAGTCTTCACAAACAGAGGCATGTTTCCAAAATTCGTCGCGTCGCTGGTGCTCATGCCACTCAGCGACATAAGGAACGCCGTACTCGAGACGTTCGAGCCATATCTTCCGCCACTTGTCCCCGACCAAGGCCGGGTCCGGAGGGTTGGGACTGACGGTGAACATGACGGCACCCCAGAGAAAGTTTTCGACCAGGGGGCAGCCGCCCATGTAGTGGACATCATTATTGTAGCGGTCATCCGTCGAGCACAGCGAGATGATGGCCTTGAGCTCGGGCGGCCGTAGAGCCGCGACTTGTAGCGCGTTGAAGCCGCCCCAGGAAATGCCCATCATGCCAATGGATCCCGTGCACCACGCCTGGGCGGCGATCCATTTGAGAATCTCCAGCGCATCGTCCTGCTCCTGTTGGAGGTATTCGCCGCGCAACAAGCCCTCCGAGTCGCCGGAGCCCCGCATATCCACGCGGACACCTGCGTATCCATGCCCCGCAAAATAAGGATGAATGAGGGCGTCGCGATGCGCCGTCCCATCGCGTTTACGGTATGGCAGATACTCGAGGATAGCTGGCACCGGATTGGCCTCTGCATCGACCGGCAGCCATATCAGCGCCGAGAGGATTGTGCCATCGGAGAGTACAATCTCCTCGTGCTCCAGGACACGAATGGGGAGCAAAGAGTCAGCCATTCAAGGAGCTGCTGTCTGATCACTTCAGCAGATGATTGGAAACGCTCCAAGAGGCAAAGATGTTCTTGAGTTCCCATTTCGCTATTACTTTTCAAAACACGATACGGGACATCGTTAATATTGCCCGATAGCGGCCGTGGATCCCCCGGTCGGATCCGGATATGGTTCGCTTAGTCTTTAGTAGTCTCGCCCATCTCCGACAAGACCCACGGCCGGATAAGCATATCACCCAAACAATGGCTTGCATCACACCTCGCAGCGAGTGTTGACTTTGGATCTTGTCATATGGCGAATGTTGGATTCCGTACGCCGTGACTGTGCTATAGCACACTTATTAATACTATTAGGTAAACCGGTGAAACCCAGTAGGGCGTTGAGTAGACCCGTAGGGACCCTGGGCGGCCCAGATAAAGCCTGCACCTCACCAAAACCAATGGTCGGGCCACTCAAAGCAATCCAATGCATCGCTCTAGTAGCATGGATTCAATTTTTTATTTGCGTCGGCTTTAATTCGAGAAATGTACCTAATTCAAGAGAAATCAGCCTAGAAGTTCTCGGGGAGGGGCCATTCGAATCATATCACTTGTACGGCGAAAACAGCTTCTACCATTCACCACCTAGTACATATTTAGCTAGCATCTCCCAAACCAACGGCTGACAGACAATGAAGAATTGATGCATAAATAAGTCAAGATATTACATAACTATGGACCTACGTTTCGAGGGTCAAGTTTCCCTCAAAACATTGCGACTTATTTCAACCCAGTACATGCTCCTCTGACTATATTCCAGAACACTACCAAGTATTTCGTCATACAAGAGTAACATTCAGCGCCGATACAAAATCACTCGATGCTGAGCTAGTAGCAACGTACAGGGTATATATCGTCTTATCCAGCGTGAATTGTCCATTTACGAAATAACCCAATTCAATGACCGGGATGGCGATGCTCGCTGTGCGCTGTTCACCAGGTTGCAGATCCACCTTGGTGAAACCCACCAGCCGCTTCGATGGCAATTCTATGGAAGCGCCACTACTCTGGCCAAAGTACACTTGCACAACTTGTTTGCCAGCAAATGCGCCGGTATTCTCGATAGAGAATGATACGGTAATGGTACCATCTTGCGAGTACTCGTCTTGGTCAGCGCTTGGTGAGGATATGGAAAAGTTGGTATAGCTGAGACCAAAGCCAAATGGGTATAGTGCTGGCAAGGTAAGCTGCGGCCAATTCATGGCTGTAGAGGACCAATCAGATGGCAGCAGGTCATAGTATATCGGATTGACCGGGGAAGCGTTGGGGAAAGAGATGGTGAGCTTCCCGCTGGGATTGACGAGACCTCTGAGGATGTCCACCACGGCCTGGCCAGTGTACTCTCCGGCAAGGAAGCTGTGCACAATCGCCGACGCACCCTGTGCAGTTCCTGATAGTTCGAAGGCCTGGCCTCCAGAGATCACGAGGATGGTAGGTTTCCCGACTGCCAGCACCTGGGCCAACAAGTCTTCTTGCAGCCCCGGAAAGGTCAAGCTGCCGTGAGTGGCGCCCTCCCCGTCCGTCTTTTGACTCAGGAGAGGATCGTCCCAGCCTACAGTGGCGGCACCGAGGGTCAGAATGACAATTTCTGCAGCTGTTGCGGCCGTCACTGCACTGGCAATGTCGGCATTCTCCGAACTCAAAACTTGCACGCCAGGTACAAAGTTGACTTGATCTTCACCTAGCCAGCCCTTAAGCGCATCAACAAACGTCTTGTTGTGGTTGTCGGCGTTGGTCCAGGCTGCGTATGTTCCTGGAATGATCTTGTCCCCTAGTGGTCCAATGACGGCAACATTCGAGGTTGTTGATGGGAGCGGCAAAAGGCCATCATTCTTTAGCAGGACAATCGATTCTCTGCTCATGTTCTGCGCGATTGCGAGATGCTCATCAGATCTCAATGTCGAGTTCAATTGAGCCTGATCTGGAAAGCTCTTATCGAACAGTCCAAGCGTGAATTTGAGCCTCAGGAGATTGGTGACGGCCTCATTGACCTGTGGTGCGAGGCTTGGGGTGTTGATGACCTCTTCAAAGCCTGTAGGGAATTGTATTGCGAGCACTGATTGCACCCCAGCCTCGAGAGCACGAGCGCCGGCGTCGTAAACATCCTGTCCAATCTTGTGTTGGTTGTAAATGCCACTGACTCCATCTGCATCGGAAAGGATGACGCCTTTGAAACCAAGAGTATCTCGGAGAATGTCCTGCAGGAGCCCCTTGTTCGCGTGGGAAGGAACCCGATCGATTGAGGCGTACGAAGGCATGAGAGAGGCTGGGGTGGTCTTCCGAAAGACGCGAATGTAAGGGTAGGCAAGGACATTGAATATGTTGTTGATGCCCGTATCGATGCTGCCAGAGTTGATGCCACCAACTGATGTCGGATATAGAAAGTGCTTGACAGTAGTCGCAATTTTCATAAATGAGTTCTCGTCGCTCTCTTGCATCGTCTCAACATAGGTGATGCCGTATTCTCCATTCAGAAAGGCATCTTCACCGTAACTGGAAGAGAGTTAGAATGCTATGAGTTTGCCGCCAACGTGGGTGCCACTTACGTTTCGCCAACTCTGCCGTGTCTAGGATCTCTTGCGGGGTCTAGATCCGGTGACAAAACCCAATTGATCCCGCAGGCGACCATCTCATCTCGGATGGCTGTAACAGCTTGCTTGAAAAGATCCAGGTTCCAGGACATGGACATGGATATCGTCGCAGGAAAGAATGTAGTGCCGAGGAGCGTTACACCATTGACCGAGTCTGCAATATTGACATAGGGAATATGAAGCCGTGAATTATTGGTAAACTCTTCAATAACATCTTTGATAACGGGTACAGCATCAGATGCGTAGTTCAAATAGCTTCCAGGGGCTTAAAGTGTTAGCGGATTGAGATTTCATCGCGTTTCAGACCGCACCTACAGATTGAACCTTGATGTATCGATGAGAGCTGGTCATACAGGGTTGTATTGTATGTAACATTGGAACCGAGTAGACCGCCAATACCAGTGAGCTGGGCGATCTTTTCTGACCAGCACATATAGTCCAGCAGGTCATTCACTCTCTCATCTGTAGTGGCGCTCGCAGTCAGGTAGACAGCATCGCTCGGGACTGTTAGGTTGCATTTGCTGCCGTCTAGAGTTGAGTCAGCGATGGCAAGACTGGTTGCAAGTGCAAAGTAAAGCGCTTTCATAACGAGGCCACGCATGATGACAAACGATCTTGGAGTATTGGAGTTGACGATGAAGGCTTCAACTTTGCCATGAGGGCTACGTATATCATATCTATCCACACACGAACTTTACTTCATTCTGAATCTTTCACGATATTAGTGTTTTCGCGGAATTTCGCCGGGCACTGACCCGATGGAACATCTTTTTCTACACTCTCCTCGTTGGTCAAGATAGACTTAAGGTTGTTTTGCGGGGAAGCGACTGGGGAATAGTGCAGTATAGGACACCGAGGGCTCGGCTCTATGCATATAATCAGGGGCTATGAAGAGTACCCGACTGGGGTAAGCGAACCCCAACATGAGCGCCAAGCAACGTCCCCCACAGATCTCTTGCGGTGCCGACGAGCCGTGAGAAGGTCAATTTTTCCGGTCGGCCCTCAGCTCCCATGGAGGTACACTGGCGTTGTATTGTTGTTATCCTTCGTCCTTCAATACACCGACTCGAATTTAGCCTATCGTTGCTATCGACACATAAGCAAATGAATAGACTTGGAGTTGTGGCCCTGGCTATTGCTTTTAAGAGATGACGAGGTTCTACAGGCAAAGACAGCGTTACATTACATATGGTTGCAACCGGCTTTCCAAGATGCTCATTCGCTCGCGGTCCGCCTCTTTATAGCGTGCATGCATGTAATCAAGGGCGGCGGCGGCAGGTGATCATGACTTCAACTTGCTAAATCTTGGCGCCCGTTAAGTAAGGCACAGCTGGGCGTCTGGTCAATTCCAGTCTTTATTTATCATCAAGGTAATTAAATGTATATTTCCCTGCACAGTATGAACCCATCCGAAACAGGAAGTCTTTAGCGCTGCCTTAGCCCTACAAAATGTACCGCAAAGTATTTGAACGAACCCAGCACTCCTTTGTGGTAAGGACAGTCTCATGCTTCACTGCTCGGAGAAATAAGGTCAATGGCATCAAATCAGTTCAAGTTAATACGTACTGCTTGTATATAATCAAATTGACCGGGTACTTATGTATATACGACAAATATACGGCTTTCATGGGTTCATGGTTTTTATTATGATCAATATGCTCATCATCAATACTAGTCAAATTGGTAGAAACAATCTCTCCGTCCTCCTTTTTTTTTTTTTTTTTTTTTTCACTAATCTCGTTGATGCCGACGTATGCACTACCATCTTATACAGTCAAGGTGAAATTGGCGCTGTTTCCAGCAACTCGTGGGTAAGCCTCTACGACGAAAGTCGTGGATTGATTGGCCGCAACCACCGCCGAGGCGGCTGTACCGGTGATTGTCACACCTGCTTGGTTCCCTGTTATATGTAATCAGCTTCACGGGCCCCCGGATATACGACTGAGTACCAAGGAGTAGCACTGACATGCAAAGTTCCACTGTCCACCAAACGTTGTTCGTCCCTGCTCTAGTGGGCCGAGGTAGATGGTCCAGTCGTCTACCAGAAAGCTTCCGTCCGACTTGTAGGCGCTCACAGTAGCTGGCTTGCCAAGCCCCTTCCAAGTGATCGAGACCGCGGTATCATTCCCCGCAATAGCTTTTGCACTAGTTGTGGTGGCCACGGGTACATCCCATTGCAGGATTTGCACTGGTATGGCGGTCCCGGCAGAAAACGTGATAATGAGGGTACCTAGAACCCCAGTGGCAGAGGAGGCGAAATAGTCGGAAAGATATGAAGCGGAAATCGTGATATTATCTCCCTCAAGATAGTACTGCGTCCCTGCAGAAAGGGTAGTGGAGCCATCGGTTATGGAACTGACAGAGTTGCCATTTAGTTTAAACAATAGGTCGTAGTCCTGCACGGTAGATCCCAGTCTGTGGAAAATATATGCCGACGTGAATTGAGTTGTCAAGGATGAATCGGTCGTCGCATCTGGCAGACTATTACTGATGCTCATCAGGGCATTGGCGTGCACGCTGAGCGACGTTGGATCGTGCCACGCGTGGGCGGCGCGGTCCAGGTGGTCAGCACCAGAGTCCCATATGATTGTAGCAAAGTTGTACTTGACCGCCATCTGCGAAAGGTAGTCGTAGTATCTCCAGCGCCCAGCAGTTTCTGTCATGACCGGGCTTACGAGCCACTCTCCAATGACAACGGGGATGTCAGTGAAGTTGTTTCTGAGCAGCGAGAAATCCGACTCCAATGCTTGCTTGTCTGCGTCCGAGCCCCAAATGGTTTTTCCCCATGCTGCCGACGTGAATGCATCTGCATTTTCCTTTTGGTTAGAATGGTGCGAAGAAAGTCGCAAGGACATGTTAATCTTACAGGGTGAATAATAGTGCACTTGAAGTGCGTAAGGGTTGGTGTAGATTGGATCGGGTCGCTCGAAATACTGGCTGGTGCGGGCCATGTCTTCTCCTGGGCCAACAAGGGTGACGACACGCTGTGAATTGAAGCCACCAGCATCATTGATAGCCTGCAAGAATACATTATTCAGCTTGTTCAACTCGGCGGCGTGCTCTGCTGTCGATCCTGGAGGTTCATTGATGGGTTCAAAGGCTACCGTCGACGCTTTGCAGCCGAGACTAGTGCCGATCTGGTACCAGAGTCTGTAGAACTTCTCCTCAATCATTGTGTAGTTGGCTCCAGATATGGCCACATTAGCCCAAAGAGCCGAGTCGTGGTGGGCGTTGACGATAACATAAAGACCGCGATCGGTGACCATGTCGATGACGTCTGACACGCGTTGCAACCAGGAAGGATCAAGATCCCAATTAGGTGAATCTCCCTCATTACTGCTACCCGTGAAATGGTAGGCCCAGGTCACTTCTAAATTAATATGAGTCTTCACTATGTTAGTGATTCACATACCTGGTATGCGGACGCTTTTGAAGCCCGCTGCTTTTACATCGTCAAAGGTGCTAGATTCCACCGGCGCATTATTCCAACTGCCTTCGGTGGGAAATGCGTCCAGTGTGTTGCCCAAGTTCCAACCGGGGCTCAAGCTGGCCGTGAAGGCTGAGGCTGTCAAGGGGGAGAACGAATCTGAGCAGCTTGCTTGCGCTTGGACAATGATGGTACCAAAGGTTGCAGCTGCAAAGCCTTGTAGAAGTTGATTCGGTAGGCGCATTTTGTTTGTCTTGGAATTCACACTTTAGATCCTTGGAGCAACATGGTTCAACTCTGTTTCGACATACTGACTATATATTCATCTACATCGACGCTAACCGGGTAAGCAACGAATATACCCTTTCTGATAAATTCCGAATAGAAGTGTATTTAATGGAAAGACGGAAGAATTATACCAATTTACCCCGCCTTTCATGAAGGTGTGCTTAATGGGGAATCTTTCTCCGTCTCCTCCATCTTCGCCAGCGTTAATAGAAACCGAATGTACTACAGACCATGGGAAGTGAAAACGGCCTCTTTTATTGGTGATTACCAGTGGAGCCAAGTGTTCAACACTGGAAGGGATTTCTTGTCATTGGCTTTGACTCCTTTCTGCGTAGGCTTTTGAATGTTTCCTTCAACCAATACATTTTTTCCTTAGACAAGGGTGTTCTTCTCTAGTATATTGATCTCTGTTGGGTACATGAACGCGTCTGCGTGCCAACGACAGGACATGAATGTTTGCCATGGTACTTGCACTTGAACTACAAAAAGGATTCGTGTATTGGATGGATAATAGTAATAATGTCCCTGTGCAATCTCATTCAACCTCAGTGCAGTGAACACAGATGTGAATTGATAAGCGCTCAATGTCTGGAAACATGTAATGAAATTCCCCTAGGAACGTTTGAGTGTCGTATAGGACTTGACTATTGCGCCGAACCAGTCCTTTTTGGTAGAGAATTGGACCCTGTAGGAACCCCAAGGCCGACTAGGTACGAGGTTCTCACTATGGGTATGCCAAGTAATGTCGGGTCAAAAAAGGCCTACGAAGAAATCAAGGGAAAGGCAAGGGAGCCGATCAAAAGACGGCAGGACTTTCGTGGCACATGGCAGTAGATTGAAAACCTGATTTTAATCCCCGCGGGCTTTTACCGCCAGCAATTTGGGACCCTTGACGGATGCATGAATCCCCATCTCACTGGGGTATTCATTCAATTTCTCCTCGCCCTGGCTTCTTTCGAACACCCCGTTTATATCTAGGCCATGTTGGCTGTTCGAATCTCCATGATTCCAAAGAGCCAAGTCAGGACAGGGCTTTGGCAGATATCTTGCTTCCTTTGCCATCGAGACCGGGCTTGCCAGATACGCCGACAGGAGGATGACCTCTGAAGTCGGGGCTATTTTAACGAGTTCTCCATTTTCTGGTTAAATGGGAGTCTAGAGGGTTATTCTGCGACACGGAAGACATTGTTGATGAGATATTGTGAAATGTCGTGCATTTCCAATCAGCAAAACTCCCATGTAGTTCAGCATGAAGTATTGAACTGCGAACGAAATTGGATGTCATAACAGAATGCACCATGCCACGGAAAGAACACAATTGGAAAGAATGTGTATTGTAGCTGCGTGAAGTGCTGGCAAACAAGCGCACTCGCAAAAGAAACGCTAGTTTTAGGTTTTTTTGTTTCAATTTTTTCTAAAATAAAACGCGTCCTTAAACGACCGGTATCAGCCACCTACAACTCATCGTTACCATAGCCCGACCTCAATATAACTAACTCCTTTATGACGATCCTTGGCGCTACTCTAGTCATCAATATCGTCCTCGTGGATATTAAGCGTCTCTGCGATGAGCTTCTTCTGATCATCGTCGGCGCCTTCAAAATGCCTTGCAAACTCGATCCTCTTGTATTCATCGACTGTATCGGCGATTGCCTTGATATTATCATTCTTGTTGTTAATAAGCCACATAATGTCATCTAAATCCCTGTGTTTCAATCTCTTGAACTTGGATTTCGCAATCTCACCGACCTTGACGACTTTGTAGTTGTTGATAATCTCGGTGGCCAGAGAGGGGGTGTTTCATCGCCTCCTAAAGCACAGAAAAACAGGCGTTAGATATGGTTTGGCTCAGACAAGTAATGTTTCCGTCCAGACGTACCTTGGACAAAAACATCTATGTCAACTTGCTGCTCATCGATCTTAACAAATAGGCGGGCAGTGCCGGAAGCACCCATTAATTTGCCCGGGCGTCGAATACTAGATGGGAAGAGTCAGCATCGTACCGCCGTGACATGTAACAGGATGGAATTGTGTACTTTGGGTCGTCCTTGACTACGTCAATCAAGTTCGCGGAGTTGACACTAATAGCCATGTCGCCATCGTGGGTTTCACGTCCATCTATGCCGTATAGCTGCATTGCAATACCATCCATTAGACCGTAGTCGATAGACTTACTTCCGAGTAGTTTTACAAGGTAGTCAATACCCTTGTACACCTGGTCGCTAGAGGCCGTCTCCGCCTCCTCTTCAAGCTCATCTAACTCACCAAGGTTGTATTCGTCTCCACGACGATGAAGTGCAGCTCCTGCCTGCAGTTAAACTCGTAGGTAGGTAGAAGACATGACTGGGGCTTCTTTCAAACTCACAAGCTTCACAGGCTCATCTGTGTTGCCAGAGGCCACTGCTCATTTGTCATCGCTAAGAGGCATTACGGCGCCTCATGCCGATTGCGCAAAGCTGACAGCGATAAATAAAAAAAAGAGGCGAATCTCATCACGGAAATGAACGCTCAAGTACGTTCCTCAGAGGTTTTAAGTGTTTCTTTGTAGCAATGCCGGTGGCCATTACTGCTTGATTCACAGCCAAAAGCATCAAGAATGGCAGTTTTGATATTGGAATATTGTATAACAATTGATACATTACGAATTTTATTACAAAGATCCCTCTGGCGAAAGGATTCAGGAAGAATGCACTCCATGTTTTGCAAAGCCACGTGACCGAGCTGTCGATGTCCTGTTGAAGACACTGTTTAGAGTATCATGGAACAGTGAAAAGTCTTGTGGAAGATCTTACGGAATATCAGATTCTGCTATTCGGTTGTGAGGAAACGGCAAATTCCCTTGGCGCATATAAAGATCAGCGACAATGTATTCAAGAGCTGCATTGACATCATCTTGGGGGCGGTTTCATCGATCCTCCTGCGGCTCAAATATTCTCAGCCGCCCAACAGATATTGTCCAACTCGGACATTTACAGGATAATTGTCGCAAACATTATATCGAGGCTGACTCCCCGAGCCATGACACGACATGCGATTCAATATGATGTAGTGCTAAGAGTGCGTTAGTCAACATGATATGACAGGCATGGTATGGTGGCGCGATGACGAATATCATGTAACAGACGGGGATATAAAAATAAGATTCCTGCGTTTGCCGTCCAATATGTGTTGCAGGTCAAGAAGAGAAAACGGCAACTGTGGTTTTGCGTGCAAGATCGCCAGCTTTGACTTCTATTTTTATTTTAAATTTACTTGTTGAATGTATCCATGTCCAACTACTAACTAGGCTAGTTCTTAGTGCGAGGCTTCACATTTTGTTCAGCTGATGCAGTGGTGTGGTGCGACACTAATACGTGGACAAGAAAGCCCGAGTCACCAATACTACAGTGTTACTGTCCCGACGGTTGGGGGGGGGGGGGGGGGGGGGGGGCTTTGGAAGGCACAGCAGCTGGGCACACGCTATGCTTAGGTATGCGCCCGGGGACTAGTACGCCGCTTTGCTTACATACCAAATCATTCACCCCACTTCGTTTTCGCATACCTTCTCAATGATGCCAAATTGATTTCTTTGCTGCGCTGTTCCTTTGCACATATCCAAGGCACCGACGCGTACAACCCATCTATAAGCCTGATTGCTATAGTCTTTGGCCATTTCTGCAGGATACCTAAGATTTCGTCCCTTTTGACATCTTTCGCGTTACGGATACCCAACAACTGAGCCCACGATGGAACAAGGCTGCACGGGCGATCAACTCGCGAGCCATGATGGTCGAGGCATAGACGAGATGGCACTGGCAACCAAGCTGCTGGAAGATGCCGGTATCACGTGTTGCATAGTTGGAAGCAAGGCCTTATTTTACTACGGCGCTGCTCCTGTTTCAAGTGTAGGCTACCCAGTCTTGCTCTAATAACCAGATATGATGTTTAACAATTAGCAGGGTTGGTACTTGTGCGTGCCAAATGATTGTTTCTCAAAGGCCGCTGCTTTATTTAATGATCTTGGCGATATCTATGAGCCGGCGCCCAACATTCTGCCACAGCTCAAGTCGCTGTTGCACACCTACCCACGATTCAAGCCCGCCGGCATCATAAACAGGCACAGGTTTGGCAACCTCTACCGTTAAGGATCAACTGACAAAATGTAACTTCCATGTTCGGCAAAGCATCGCAAATGAGAAATAGAACAATTTGTGGGAAAAAAGAAAAAGAAAAAATATTTCTGTTGTTGGATAGGACACAGGTAGATTATCTAAGCCTTAGAACTCGACATTGCCAACCTCATTGTCCTCGAACTGCAACCTTGTAACCTAGAACCAAAATGGGTAATTGGATCGCATTAGTGCTCGAGCACTTTTCTTCCAGCTCGTTTTATGAAAGGAAGCTCTTAACTAGGCATTACATTAATATTATACGTCAATACATAATGTGTATTAAGTTGTTCATAGTCATTGAATCAAATCGGTGTGACAGATTGTTGTTCCTCTCATAGGTTGTGTCCGTTTCATTGGGATGCGTGACATCACTGTAAGGATTGTCTTGGTATGAATCCTTTGCGGCGTAGCATCCTTTCTACTGCGGGGATCCAACGGTATTCTTGGCCGTGGTGAAGGTTGAAATATACTTGGCTCCATAAGCGAAAAAAAAAAGGGATGTGGTTGGCATAACGCCAAGGGATTTAACATTAAAGCCAAGCTTAAATTCCATAGGTCAGCTTGAACCAACTGCATATCCTCCAGCTTGACACAAATGCAAATCATCACCAACAACATGAGTAAGTCGCCATCGATCGCTGCCAAGGGCAAATGACGCAATTACACAACAACGTTGGTAGTTGTGATAAATTGATAGTGCGACCCATGCTGAGTCCTCAGGACTCAATGCCACAGTGAAACTTTTGCTACCATATTACATACAGCACAAAATACAGCCAGCCGTTCAACAACTAGTATCACTATGAAGGTCCAGTTGCTTACTTTATCATCGACACTTTTGTTGTCAACAGCCGCTGCTTGGAACCCTAGCCAGCGAGACTGTTCTGACAGCCCCTTGTGTTTCAAATCGTTCATATGGTGCGATGGGTACAACGGAGATGGCTGCTTCTTGCCTGAAGGAGCTTACCCTGCCGTCGCTAACCCGAAGAATTCTCACTATGTCCTTCTGCTGGAGGACATGAACTACACCGTATCCTGGCAAGTAGATGCCAAGAACCGAGAAACGCCGGTACAGGTCGTGTGGCAGATCGCAGACGGAGAGAGATGGGAAACCAGTAAGTGAGCTCAGAAGTCGGGCGCCTCCATAGTAGAGATGGCTGAAAGTCTCATGCGAAAATGTAGATACCACAGAGTCCCAGGTCGTCTTCAACCCGTCCAAGATTATCCAGTCAATGCAACAAACGGAGTTTGCCGGATACAAGGCAATGATAGACGCCTCGAACGTTCTCACCATCAGCCAGCCTGACCTTACGAGCAAGGAGAACTACCCTGATATCCCAGGCTATACTCCATACGACATGTCGGATCAATTCATCATCGGAAGCCCCTCGATCAAAAGGTTCCTCGACGCTCAGAAAGGCATAGGGCACCAAGACGAGGAGAAGAAATGGAAACTTGGAGTAGGTATAGGTGTTGGTCTCGGAGTGCCCATCCTGATGGCTTTGACTGCGTTGGGAACTTGGTTCAGCGTGAAGAAAAGCGTCGCGAAGCGTGGTTCAAATTCGAAGCCAATTTAGGTAGAGAGAGATACACACTGGGCACGGCCCAGTTCGAAAACGATCCCAAGAACGAAGAGGTGTGGTGATATTGATGTTACAGAGAGGAGGTCTAGCTACAGCTGCCAATGTTGTTGTTTTTACCCCTTATCCAGCGGTAGATTAGCGCCTTCCAGCTTGAGAGTTGTCTCTAGAGCTGTTGGAAGGATTATGAGACAAAGGAAAGCTTTTTATTTAGTTATTTATATCACAGTCACTACAGTGTAGAAAATACCCGAGTATTCTTGAGGTAAATTCTTCAAAAGCCTCACATAAACCGCATGATGACACAGGCATGTGACAACGTGAGATATAGATGAAAAATGATATTCGACAAGTCAAACAGACTATTTGATAACAAAAGAACGCACACAGTAAGAGGGAAAGAAAAACAAACATCCTGAGACTTCTTCACCTGCACTCCACTTCAAGTTGTCCGTACTTGTATTACTCGCAGTCGACCCAAGCATCGCAGAAGCCCATGCCTCCGCATGTTCTGTGTTGCACGCATTTGTTGTTGTCCTTGGTGCACTATTACAACGGGGGAGATTTAGTCAACCAGGTGGCAAAGAAGGTTATTTGTGGTATTGCTCACACTGCCGTTCTCGCAGTCGCCCAGCTCACCACTGGAGTCCCAGCAGGTGTTGGTGCGCTCGGCGCACCACTTTGAACATGAAAAGCGTTAGTCAGCCTTTGTGAAGTTTCTCTCTGGCAGAAAAGGAGGCAGAAAACATACCCCGTCGGTCTCGCGACGCTCGAGGCCGCGGTCTTCAATCTGCTTGGCAGCGCTTGCGCTTGCGACAAGGGCGGCCAGTGTGGCGGACACAAGGAAGGTCTTGAACAGCATGGTGATGGTAGTATTGAGCTAAAAGGCGAGGAAGTGACAATAAAATTTGATAAATGTGTGAATAGTATCTATCCAATCGTAAGTGCGATATCGTGTTTGTTGCTGTGGTGCAATTTGAGATTCTCATATCTTTTATATAGTTTTCTCTCTACAACCGTGCCTTTGCATGTCGCAACAGTCCCATCATCAATCCAGACTTTCCAAAAATACAACATCTCAACTTGGCCATGACGATCTATGAGGTCAATCCCAGATCACCTGAAATCCTCGTGCTTCTCAATCCAGGCATTCATTCAATATATCATAAGAGAAAAAGCCACCTGGGTGTGCATTCCTTCCTCACCATCATTCACTTTCGTTCATTACTGTTGGTCCCTTCGAAGAGAAAATGCATTTGAGGCCGTCCTGAATGACTTCAAATCTGATAACCGAACAGTGTAAGATTAACGTTACTTTTGACGTCACTGGCAAGGGGCCTACATTGCTTCTTGGCCAACATAACGGCAACTGTGTTGGTCCCCCATGCCATTCCGTGCAGGATCAAGTCTGGGCAGCTACCGTAGGCCAGTCATACGATTTTATGATTAAACTTTCTCTGAATTTGAATGCGTGTAGTAGGACGAAAATAGCACTGCTATAATCTCCTACTCCATGGATTTCGATCCAGGAGAGGATGATGGCTGGAATTATTGTATACGCCGCGGTTCAACACACAAGAGGCTGTCATAGTGGCGATCGTAACATATGTATTCAATTTTGTATGACATGATCTTCAGGACTGTGTCTTGATTGAAATATTGCCGAATACCATCAGGAGGCAAAAATGTTGTCATTATGCCATGACTCTGTCACGGCCAATATTCCTACTATGCCGCCGAGACATTGCGCCTTCTTCCTACGAAATAAATCCCATGAAGTCATCGAGGTACGTTTCTTCTTGTTGTTTGAGACTATAAGACGTCCATAAATCACGCGTCTAGAAGGGAAAGAGGACCGCATATTCAACCACACATTCAACCACATATTGAACTGCACACTCAACCGCACTTTCTCTTTGCCTTCTGTATCCCACAAATCTCCCTCTCGAACTTCTAATCAACTTACCAACTTCAGTATGGCTGAGGCATTTGGAGTCATCACTGGCCTTCTAGGCGTCTGGCAATTTGCCGAAGACCATTTCCCCGCGGATGAGACACCTGCGTCAAACTACCGCGTCACCGTCGGCCTCGAAGGATTTGATGCCAATGGCCAAACGCTCACAAATGCTAAGGGGGAAATTGAGACCATCAAGACCTACAATGTTCAGCATGAGTTGATTGGCTCAGGAGGCGGTCTCACCGTCGGCGATGGAGAAGATGACCAGTTCGGCGACATCAAGGTTGACCAAGAGGGGAACTCCCAGTCCATATGGACTGAATTCTGTAAGTGAGAGTCGGATAAAAGTCATATCATATTGCGGTGACTGATTTCTCACTTTACTATTTCAGTTGCTGGAGATGATGCCATTTGCATTGCTGCTATCACAACCACCATGGAAGAGGGCACTAAATGGGGGTGGACTGGTGACTGGGGCTACTGGTGCGGACTCAACTGGTAAGCCCTGACTTTCCCAAAGGGTCATGAGATGACGAGTACTGATTGCCGCAATGTCACAGGTTCCCAAGTGGATATAGGCTAAAAAACGACCAGGGCGTGGTTGATGCGTAAGTTTAGAATTCTCTAGAAAGCATTTTGCGTATGCCCCCATCCGCAAAACTAATTTGCAACGCTAGCTCTCCCAGGTGTACTTGGATAGACAAGGACCACAGCGAAGATCTCAAAGCGGCCGCAATCGGGATCAATTGGAGCGAACTCGGGGCCACCGAAGGCCAAAAGACGCCTAGTCAAAGCGAGTTGCTGAAGAAATGCGGTGACAAAATGCAGGCGTGGCCCGAGGACGGCGGTAAACAGATGCTGCCAGTAAACGACAAGAAGAAGCGGTCGTCTTCCGTGTTCCGACGCTCCCAGCGTTCCGACGACCGCCTCATCGTCAGCAGACTCAACCACAACGCCACCGAGGTCTGCGACTCGTGGTCCTCCTGGGGCCCTGACTTTGTCTCGGAGCAGGAAGGCATTTATTGCAACATGGAGACCCACGAGGCTATCCCTCTTTGCAACGCAGATAAGACGGTCGACTGCTTTGACCTGAACACATCCCACGGCCCTGCCATGGTCCGTCGAAACGGCAAGAGAAGCCCTCGAAACCCCTCTCAAGTTGTTACCTGGGCTTAAGTTTAGGGGGCAGATTCTAAATCTGGCCTCTTTACTCACAAGCTGCCAGGAAATGTATTTTAAACGGTGTTGGTTCAGGTATTCAATGGCGTGCTTGTCGCAATGGAAGGGATTTTTGCTTTTTGCTACATTCATTTTATTTTGCTACTTTCATTTTATCTCAAATTTAAAAAAATATAAGTTGATAGTTCTGTGCGCATATCTTCGCTGTGTAATGCCATCGCACGTCGTTGTTAATGCCATTGCAAGTATTGCTTGGTATTTATGCTGTAAAGCTATTCTGTCAAACTTGGTTCAATTCTTGTAACAGTTCCAAGGGTGAAATGCCAATGACGGCAGCACGGCGTTATGCAGCACCAGTGAGGTCTTGGCCTTTGAGGATTCAGCGTCCATTTGTAGTATTAGTGCACCGTGAATAGCAGCCGGAATGTATAGACCATGAAATGGATTGAGTTGGTGGTGGTTTGGTTGCAGAACATCGGCCACGTGGATCAGATAATGCCTCATTAGGGTGCTCACATTAATACCCCCAAAGGTTGCTGTACTAAATTTGTCGCTCAGTGAAAGGGTCAAGTTGGATGGATCCGATATCCATTGCAGCCGAATGCCATACCCGCCAGACGATATGCTTCTCTTCTCGCGTTTAGCGAACGCATCTGGCTTCTCTTCTCGCGTTTAGCGAACGCATCTGGCTTCTCATCGCATCGGACTTTGCGTGCCTTGCATGTCAAGCATCTGTTGGCTCGTCAGCGACGGGAGGACGGCCGAGGTGGAAAGTCCAAGAAAGGCACCCTGTACTGCAACCATATACGTACTTTGTGAACGTGATGACACGTTGTTTTAGCTGACTGCGCATAGCAATCCCGAATCGAACCCCTGATCGGATGTAATTGAGCAGTCGTCGTCTCGTATTATCATCTACGATGTTGGGTCTCTGAGTGCGTGACACACATTCTCTCCTTGAATGTAATCCGGTAGTTATCTTTGGCATTTGGCTTGTCGGCCTGCGTGCCTCGTTGTTGTTGTTGTTTGAGCTCATCATGGTGGCCGCCCGGGTTATTGCTCAAAAGCTTCCATCGCGGTGTAGATTGATGGTAACGAATGTTGAAAACCGCTGATTTTAAAGGTCGTCGGAAGCAATTCTCTCATGGATTCGATGACGATAACTTCGCATATATACCGTGACCCCCCTAAACCAAGAGCAAGTCCTCCAATGAGACTGAGCGCGACTTGATATCTTCTTGAAGGTTCCCTTTGTAAACCATCAATTCGTGTATATAAACCTGCCCGAGGTAGATATATTTCCATAGTTGCCTTTTAATCTTGCCATCAGTTGTCTCAACTCGTCGCAGCATGACCGGAGCTTGCATGCCAAGCAATATTTTCACTTCATCGCCTATCCTCAGCCCTTTAGGCCCCAAGCCGAGAAGCCCGTTTTTAGTAAGGAAAAGTTGTCTGTTTCGGCAAGTATCGGCACGAGTTTGAAGATAAAATGTCCGTTCAGAAGGGTCCGTTGACGGTGGCATTGCGCAAAACTTGCCTGCCGTCACAGTGAGGTGTACAAGCGCGTCGCGGGACAGCGATGTTCCCGGGAAACTTGATTCGGGAAATCGAGAGCGCTTCTCGATTGCAAAATCTGCAATTCCTTGCCACTTCGCGAACAATTTGTCGCAATTGAAATCTCTCTGTGTAGTACTGACTCCATCAGAGTCAGAAAGTCGCTCAGCCTCGACGACTGCGCTGCCCAAATGTTTCACAGCTTGAACAAGTAGAGTGTAGACATCATCTTCTTTGCATCCCGGGCTAAAACGATTTCGTAGCGCTTCGTTCTTGTCGATTGCAATCACATTTGATAAGCCATCCGCTGCAGCAAAATTATCCTCTGGGTAGGAAAATCCTGTCCAGAATGGGGCTTGATAAAGGCCGTGCCTTATAGACCCTGTACTCATGAAAGCCGGACACCAGCTTGGCAAGTAGTCTTCAATGTTGTCGGAAGGTAGATGTGAGTCATCTCGATTGAGTTCGCGAGCAAACTCTGCTAGGGCTATGACTGATAATTTGCGGTGAAGTCGGATATGCCTGCGGGCAAACTCGATGCTCAAAAGCGATGGGGTCTGATCGTAGTCCGGAATGATGAGGGCATCCCTGTTATCGACAAGGCCCAAGAAGGCAAAGACTTTGTCACGGGGATCTGTCGCGCGTCGACCACGAAACAAGTAGACGAGACTTAAGAGGTCCGCCGAGTTGTTCCATTGAGTGGTGTCACTTGAGCTCTTTGCATATGTGACCAATTTACAATCGAGGTTGGCACGCCAGGCTTTGCGTGCCACTTGTAGCGACTGGAATTCGGCCAAGTGGGATTTTCTGAGTGAAAATGGAGACGAACTCATCGGGCTGTGTTCAGGCTGTGCCTCCAAGGTTGAGTCCAGCAGTGTTTTACGATGCGTGCTGCCACCAATGGCATCAATCAGAGCGCAAAAATGTTCCCAGTCCAAAGTGCTGCAGCCGCACTGCATTTCGACGGCGCGGGCTCGGACCAGCTCCTGTACGACCCAGGCTCGCGTCCACCACGATCTTCGAAGGAGGGAACGTACCACATGGAGCAATCCGACGTGAACCAGTTCAGATTGAACCCGTTGTTGTTTGCCCGGGAACATGTGGACCTTCGTATCCCTAATAGCGTGGCGCAGACCCCACGGCTCACTATTGCCCAACCAGACAACAACCTTGGATGCCTTGGAGTAGATGTGACCCATCAAGAGAACCTGTGAGCCTCTTTCCTCGATGTCATTCTGGTTGATCGAAAGAGCATCAATCCACAGCATCCGAGGTTCCCTTTCCCGTCGGAGATGTAGCAGTGCCTCGTGCAAAGAATTCGAAACCTCGAACGGCTTTCCATTTACCCGGATGTATTTTTCAAGATCGAAAGAACCCCATGCATAGGAGAGAGCCTCGAACTCCGGACAGAGCGGATCATAGAGGTCGACGGTCATGAAAGAGCATCTCAGCGCCACGTTATCTCGCCCTGGAAGTAGCTTGATGAGCCGGACTCTGGTTTCAATCGCTTCGTACTGTTCTCCTGTCAATGATTCGGTCGAGCCATACACGAGCGCATTGGCTGCGGAGACTCTGCGTATTTCGTCCAACGTGATCTCTTTACTCTCTTTGTAGAAGTTTCGGATCAAAGGCTCGAGAATAATGGCAAAATGCTGAGAGAAACCCAGGACCTCTTTTATGTTGTTCTTGTATGGCTTATACCCTGCAAGGTCGAGAACGTCCAAGGTCTTGGATATCCACGCACTAAGACCACGGGAAAGGTAGTTGTTTCCATGAACTAGAAGCGATCGCCATACCAGCAGACAGTCAGCAAGTCTATCTGCGGCAGTCGAGTTGAAGAAGACCCAGAAGCATCGCGAAAGTCGCGCTCGCGCTGTGAGATAACCAGGAATGTGTTGACAAGATGACTCAATCGTGTGCGCCGCAAGTCCCAGATCCTCCACTGCCTCTCTGACTGCTACGCCGAAGAGCCTCCAGGCCTTGATGCTGATGGGAACGATTAGCATTTCAACCACACTGGATACGACCAAAGACACTAGTGAGGCAAGCGATGCAGCCAATGGGCCTATGTGCAGCTGCCAAACGTCCAGCTCGCTTCGTGTCCCTTCTGCAATGGACTCTTGGACCGGCTGAAAGGTCCCCGCAACAGACGCAGCTACTGAAGTGATAGCTTCTATCAGAGGCAGTCTCTGCATAAGCCGTAGCCTCCGACGAGTTCTTCGAATCATCCTGCGAGAGAATCGACGAACGATCAGGTCGAAGTTGAGCACCCCGATGAAGAAGTAAAGCACGGCCAGAACAACTACAAATTGCATGCCAAGGCAAGTGTAGATTGTTCCAACAAACCAGGCCTTGCAGGTGAAGACCGTGATGGTCCACAGCAACGCGCCGGGCTCCTGGGCGTGTGCCATGATGGGCGAACTTGACAAGTTGTAATACAGGTAAAGAGAAGTTGAAGCAAACCAACGGGTCTTTGTTATATGGCGGTCAACGACCTCTTAGACCAGCACGTGACTGACTAATAGGGGGGAAATATCGTGCTCCACATAGTGCATCGTGACATTTAACGGTTTCATGGCTATGATGCGGGTAGCCTAAAGTCAAACAACTTTATCACTGCGTGATTTTAGTGATCACATGCCTCCTCATCTCGCTATTAAATCCTCAGGCTGCTAGTTAAGCTAGACTCTGCTTGCCATAACTCACAGGGCACGGTACGGGGTAAAGTTAGTTGTGTAAAGATGGATGCCCCATTGAAGCTAGGTACACCGACTTCCAGTTGCAAGTCTCCACACGGTTCCAGCGAAATCCCACCAAAATCCACCGTTTCTGCACATTTATATCAAGGTATTATAGATAAATTCTCCAAAATCAGGAAGCTCCATAGATATATAAGGCATTTCCAACCATTATCATGAATTATTAATTTTATTGATGATACAAAGGTGTCTTATATATAATCTGTATTCAACCATATCGCATCGCCCACCGAACTTCAAAATAGCACCCGTGCGCAGGCTTATGACCACCTGGGCAGTTAGTGCCAGTGGCCGTCAACAATTGGGAGGGCCACAAGCTAGCCACCTGTGGCTGCCCCGGCCCTTATGCATCACTCGAACTGTAATAACGAGCCACAACCTTGTCTTTTTATTTATTCTTGTGTTGCCCCTTGCACTCATGCCTCTTTTCGTCAAGCACGGCTTTGTATCTTTTACTATTTTCTCCCTTCGTTGGATGCAGAATTAGCTGCACAAGAGCGAGTTGAGGGAAGAGCAGTCTCGCCTGGTGGCAACGTTTGCTCGTGTTGCCATCATGGAGTTGCCATCATGGTCTGGCCATAGATGTAACAGATATTCGTGCTGTCCAATATATCGCAGCGTAACAATTGAAGTCGCGGTTGCAGATCTTGACGTGCTGCGAGAAGTCTGTCGCGGAGGGGTCCTTGCGCGTATACCTGTACGTGACTTCACCTGTACAAGTCATCCCGTATGTGCATTCGCATTCGTCGCTGCCGTGTTATAGTCGCAATGCCATGTCAGTAGCCTATAGAAAAGAACGTTCCGCGCATGCATTTCATAACTGTTGAACCTGCTGTATAGGTCAAAGGAAGGCGTCGGACGACACGGACACAATTGAAAGCATGTTGCAGTATGCTGAGTTGGTCACAACTAGATCAATACTTGCCAGCATCCGAATCCGGATAAAGAGCAAAGTGATCAAAGTGGTCAAATGCATTGAAGGTCTCCTCTTCCAGATGTATCTGCTAATTAACCTCCTTTGCCCCAGATCCAAAAGGGCAACGGACACGACGGAACTCAGAAACATGCAAGAAAAAAAAAGGACCATTTGAAAGCGCTCAAGCTAATTGTTCTCGAGACCCATGGCCACCAGTTTATCAAGTGAATGTAACTGGTAAGTGCTAGGCACATAGTTGAATCGCCATGTAGCCAAACTTGGAGCTTCGGCGACTTTTGCTTGGCTATGAGTATATACCCATTGAATATAGATATGGTAGACACGGCCAGCCAAGAGAATATTTCAAACGCGGCGACTCAATGTACGACACGACAGCTATAAAAGTCTTGACGCGATCGATGCCATTGGCTCAATAACAATCGTAAAGAAGGGGTAAGGCAAAGAATTGTACATGTCGCGGCCACAAGAGCAATATGCAGTATTGAGGGCCGGGTCATCCTGGCAGATATCTGTCAGGTTGGAGTCTGCGCAGATCAGCTAGAATGATACGACAAACAGATGTTCTAGGTTAGACCACTGGAGTTCGCGTTTCCCAAGATACAATTCATTGACTCGAAAATACCCGAACAGATTCCTGACACGGCACTTCAGCTTTGAATGGCGCTGACTGGCTGATCTAAATCGCAAGGTCTGTAAGTTTTGTGTGGACAGGAGAATCCCGAGGCCAGTTTACAGAGATACTCGATGGAATGCTATCTCATATCAACCAAGAGACTCACGAAGTATGAGAAATGACAAGTCACAGTAGAGAGCAGGTGGTGGGAGTTCTCGGTGCAAATAATTTACGTTGAGAATCTCTATGTACCGGAACAAATCTCGTCTCGCGATACGATACATGAGTAAATATATTCGCAGGTTCAAACGCCAATAAAAAGCCTGAGAAGCTTCAGTCATGTCAACAGGGACGGCGATTGTCAATAAAACATCAATATCACAGTCCGTGGCCCGATAAATAGAGCCTACGAAATGTGGCCATCTGGGTTTGAACGATCGGCAAAAATTTCAACAAATATCAATCATTGTTTACGACTAACGCAGGGAATCTGGTTTCGTGTTTGGGTGGCCGGACGGGTCGGTGTTTCTCTGCTCCGTTTGTAGCCCCGACATCAGGGCGTGGCATCTCGAACCGCAGAAATACAGGCAACCTGCGCTCGAGTAGGAGGATTAGCAAATATCCACTTGTTTCTTTTGTACTTATGTTGAAAAAGCCATATTGAAGTGGTCCTGGTTAGAGCACCGCTGGAAAAAGATATTTACTTCCTTACCCAGATTACATCGTCTTTGGCCAAAACCGATTGCCCATGAATATGTAGTAGTAAAGCATATTTGATGTCCCTCCAGGTAGAATGTGTATGTAAACAAATTTTGCAAAATTGTGAAATCCCACTCCTATGAATTAACTCACGCCCACACACTGTCGGGGCAACCATGGTCATCAAGCCGCCACCGGGCTGGCGTCGTCGTATTTAGCACCATCCCATCTCTGTTTGCACCATATTTTTCCTTGACCTTGGAGTTTTCATTTTCTGTCCAAATTTTCAACATCTTCCCAACTACTCGCACATAAACTCGATTGTGCACACATCTTCCATTTCTGAACCATCACCACTCAACGCCACTTGGAACTACCCCAGAGCCTTTACCAAAACTATCACAGTCATATCCCCATTTCCCTCAGATTCTGCTACTTGACCTTGGTCTTGTTTACATTCTCTGTCCAAGTCTTGGGGATAACTTTCCAAGTACTTACGCACAAGTTCAACCTCGCACACATCTCCCATTCTTGGTAGTCATCACCAGACTCGACTTGAGCATACATTCCACAAAATGTCTCGCGAGTTTATTCCAGCACTCCCTCACTGCCATTCCCACCCGCGGTCCATCCAGCAGTTCTCGAGATTCGCCCGGATCACCCGCTCCGACCCCAAAGTCTTGAACCACGCAGTCTTCACGCACCCTATCGGTTTCGGGAACGCCAATGACCGCAAGGACTGGCGCGTGGCCAGTGGGTTCCTCAACGACAGACATGCCACCTTCATGGAGTTCTACACGCACGCCATGGAAATGATCAAAAACGAGGGCAAAACAACTGTTTTCGGCGTCGTCACCTACTGGAATGACCCTATGGAGGATTTCATCAAACCTTTCCACAAGGCCAGGAAGCCCAACGGAAAACCATGGAATAAGCGTTCTTGGTACTGGAGCGATAACTGCAAGCGCCACGGCCTCGGCATCGCCGTTTGCAAGATGCCCAAGGGCCAACCCGGCTTCCGCGTCATCATGTACGACATGGATCACAACGAACTGGCATCACACACCTTGGAACCCAACACGGGCGATGAGGACCGCGACCGCCTCATCAGAGACAAGCGTAACTGGCGCACCATTCTCAGCTCCTTCGCCGATTATGCCATGAAGGACGACTTGATTGAGTTCTGGCAGGCCGGCAACCCCCAGCTGCTCACCAGGAGCCACGAGATCTCCGGAAGCGACCCCGACTCGGTTTCAAGCTCTTGCGCTTGGCTGTGGGACATGGTCAAAGGACTCGGCCCCAGCGTTGATGCCGATGACGAGGAGATGATCAAATGTAAGTTTCCTTCTCTTTTTATCTTTTCTCTCTTAGTTTTCTCTCTCCTGCGCCCTTTCTTCCCTTTTTTTCTTTCTTATTTTCTTTTGGCAAGATATTCTAGAAAGATTTGCCTTGCCCCTCAGATTCCTAGGACAGTACTATGGGGTCACGGGATACCTTGAAAGGGATTCCACGGGTACCTGCCTACCTAGCATCTTACTAGTTGAACTTAATCAACGCAACACTCTAACTACACGGCAATTCTGCCATTGCTGCACTTTCTTTTTCAACCTTCGAGTGGTTGATATCACTTCTCGCCTTCCATCCAAGCTAACGTATTTCGATTGGCAGGGGGTTACCACAAGCCGGCAATGATAGTGGTGGTCAATGACGCAGTCGACAACAACAAGGAAGACTCAGACGAGGAGGACTCTGACGAGGATGAGGAGACGGACGAGGACGAGGAGATGGAGGAGGACGAGGAGATGGAGGAGGACGAGAAGATAAAAGAGGAGACTGACCTCGCTTAAATGGGCCAAACCTGAGTCTAAAAAGAGACAAAACGGGCAGGGGCAAGACTCTGGAGAAAGTGCCCGACTCCTCTAGCTCGGACGTGCAGGACAACGAGGACTGGGAGGAGGATTGAGATCACCCCCAAGAGGGATTTTGTATGACCACGGAAACAGGAATGCTTTTTGGGACAACCGGCACAGGCGTTTGGATTTGGAGAGAATTTCTTTTTGTTAATTGTTTTTGTGCTTTTGAAGATATACCCGTTGGTGGAGAGATACCCCATGATGGAGGATACCCCTTGTCGGAGAGATACTCGTCTTACGAAGAAGACAAGCTTCATAGAGTTGAAGAAACGACATAAAATCATGGCAAGATGACCACAGTGACTACGGCAAATCCCATTTGACCTGCTTCTTTTTCTATTTCTTTCTTACACCGACCTTCGTCACTAATTTCGCCAATCGCTGCTCACTTTGGTGACTTGAAAATATGTCCTGACTGCCTTGTTGTTAAGAGCAATACGTCCAGTGTGGCACAACAGAGCTGCTGACTTATTCCGCCGCCAGAGTCAAGGCCCCACCTTTTGACGGCGTCTTGCGCCCGGCAACGGCCCGTATGTACGGACCTGGAGCTTGGATCATTCCGGGACACCTAACACGACATAACTCTCATTTTTCCTCCTTATAGCTTTATCTAGTATTCTCGCATGTAATAGGAACAAGATCATTGAAAGAGTACTGAAACCCGTACACTTGGTTTCGACTGGTGCAATGAATTTCTTGGCTGCTTGATTCGTGATTCGGAGCTCCGTTAAGTCCGATGCATAGGTTGAGCGCCGAGGACACCGAGGCGGCGAATTACGCGTCTATACCATGTAGTGTGCAAGGCACTTTCCGTGCTGGGAGCTTGATCCGGGCTGCCGAAAGTTATCTTATATTGCTATACTGCCACAAGCATTGTGTTCGAGTCGTAAAGCTAAGGGGAATCCGTCTTGGCGTTGTGAGCATTATTACATGTAAGCACATGTGAGAGTGGCAATCTTGCTAATGCTTTCAGGAACTCAATGACAGAGCCTAGCAGCGAGGCCAAGTCCGAAGTAATATATTATAAAGAATCATTTAGGTCTCTAATTGTTTTTTTTTATTGATATGTGCTCATGCAATTCCAATATATTGGCCTGCAAGATCTCGATCATAGTTTTTAGGGATGAAACTGCTACTATCAGGTTTGGCGGGCCTGGTAGCCGCACAGTCTGTGCAAGCTGCACTCTACGACACAATCGTTCAGACAAGATATGGTGGAATTCAGGGCTATCCCGCATTTAATGCCAGTCCAGTGGGTGTCGATCTACAGAATTGGGCTGAAATCACTGTTTGGAAAGGTATTCCATATGCCGCTTCGACTGCTGGTCAGAATCGCTTCAGACAGCCCCAGCGGCGTTCGCCCTGGAACACGACTTTGGACGCAAAGGAGTTCGGAGACACTTGCCCCGGAGAAGTGACGAATCCGGAATATACATTCAGCGAGGATTGCCTCAATCTTAACATATGGAGCGTGGCAAATTCCAGCGATGCCAAGCTTCCTGTGGTCTTATGGAGTCACCCAGCTTTATCTACTTCTCGAGACGCCTTGTTTGATGGAGGTGGAATGGCTGACAAGGGTGTGGTTCTTGTCAATTATAATTACCGACAAGATGCATTCGGGTGGCTGGCTCATCCACAGCTCTCGGAAGAATTTGAGAAAGAGACGGGAAGCAACAGCTCTGGCAATTGGGCCATGTTGGACCAATTTGCGGCCCTGGCATGGGTCCATGAGAATATCGAGGCTTTTGGCGGAGACCCCAACCATATCACTGTCCAGGGACAGTCTGCCGGAGCAGCTGCCACATATCATATCTTGAACAGTCCTCTCACCAAAGGCCAATTTGTCGGCGCCATTATCGAAAGCGGAGTTCGCGACCCCCATGACCCAGAGAAGCTCGCAGACGGCTACATTACGCTAGATGATGCCCTGAGCTCCGGCATCGAGTACCTGACGGCCCAAAATGTCACAACAATCGACGAGCTGCGCGAAATACCTTGGGAAACACTGGCTGCAGGTGATACGGGATCTCCTGGAGGGCCCGGTAGTGGCGGCGGCGGCGGTGGTGGTGGTGGTGGTGGAGGAGGTAGTGGACCACCAGGAGGGGCCATTGGTGGCGGCTTTTCAGCCAATCTGGATTACTATGCTGTTCCTGACACCTACCTCAACACGCTGATCAAGGGGCTCGCAAGTGATGTTCCTGTAATAACGGGAAATGCAAGAGACGAAAATGGCGCTACATATGGTCTCAACATCACCCTTGCTGCCTATCTGGAATTCATAAACGAGACGTACGAAGGCGAGTGGGCAGACAGATTCCGCGAGCTATATCCGGCAAACGACTCGGCCACAGCCTCCACGGCTGAGAATCAGCAGTGGATCGACCGCTCCAAGGTCGGTACCTGGCTGTGGTCCCGCCTGCGCACTTCTAATTCCAGCATTGCCAGCCCCATATACAACTATTTGTGGGATCATGCACCGCCCGGGCAGAACAGGGGCGCGTACCACGAGTCAGAAATCAACTACGTATTGAACAACCTGTATGCTACAGACCTGCCCTGGGAGGCTGTAGACTATTCTATTGCCACTGAGATGAACAGTTACTGGGTCAACTTCATTAAGACTGGCAATCCCAACGGAGCTGGCACAACACAGTGGAACCCGGTCAGTGACGAAAAGATTGTACAAGAACTAGGTGACGGTTGGGGAACTATTCCAGTCGCATCAGAAAATGCGGTTGAGCTGCTCCAAGGATGGTTTGAATCTCTTCCGCCTTATTAGAGGCAGTGGTTCCTGCATAAGACGGAATAAAGCTGCGGACTTTTGTATGAATTCGTCCTTTAGTGCTTGAATTCATTTTCTCTTGGACTGAAATGCACTGGTTAGCACGTTGGCGATTTCTTAAAATTGGAAAGTCTACCTGCTAAGTAGAACAAAGAACTCACTGTTTGGACCCCTTTGTAGACCCAATTGACCTGCCTCAAACAAAGACCACTGGAATTAGGGAGCCCGCTAGGCGGTATTAGTTTTATCCTTTGTCCTCCAAATGTCTGTGACAGTCTGCGCAACAATACGCCACTTCTCCATCATTGACTTCCCCCCACCCAGGACTTCAAAGTATTGTTGTTATTCCGTGGTGTAATTTGAATCATGGCCGGTCTACCAAAAGTCCCTGGTCCCAGGTTGTTGCCTTTTGACTTCAATGAGGACAGAGATGACCTCGAATTCATTGAGTTTCTAGGAAAAGGCATCCACGCACACGTATGGAAGGTGCGAATAAACCAGAGGGAGTATGCACTCAAGATTGTAAGTATTCTCATTGATTCAAGTTGTTTAATCCATTAAAGAAGCTAATAACCAAGACAGTTTCCTTTTTGGAAACATGACGAGGAGCCTATCCTGCGTGGTCTCAAGGTTAGCGAACGAGAGAGTCTGGGGTATTTTGATCCCTTCTCTTGTGAGTGCCGGGCATACGCTCGGTTGAAGGAGAATGGAATAGAGGAATACGCCGTCAAATGCCACGGTTACATCTTATTGAGGAAGAAACTCCAGGAACAACTCAAGGAGAAAGACCATCACGACTGGAAAGAGGTGTGGGGTTGGAAGAGGAAATGGGCGAGGATGCCGCTTCGATCGCTCGTCAAAGATTTCGTTGAAGCCGACTTTAAAGCCATCGAGCGCGCCATGTGTACAGATAGTATATCGTATGACGACTACCAAGATATGCTCATTTCATTGAGTATGAAAGACTGCGCCACTGGTACACGCCTCGTACGTGCGATGAAGTCTTTACACCGAAGTGGCATCCTGGTCCGAGATCTACATAACGAAAACGTGGCACATGGCAAGTTTCTAGACTTCAGCTCTGCATGGACATCTCCACATCCATGTTTTACCCCTGACATGCTCTATGCCAATAGGAACAATGGATTGGCATGGAGTGACCTCAGCGTTGCGGATGGATGGGCCATTGATCACCTTGTTGATGAGTGGAACGAACGACTTGGTCAAACGGCTGGGCGGATTCCGATTCGCATGATTCGCAATTACAACTATCTGATGAAGGTGCGATCCCAAGATCGTTTCAATCGGCATACTTACGGCGTCCGATGTCCAGCTGAAATGCATAATTGGTCGGCTGAAGACAAAAGGAGATGGAAGCAGCTTTGTCAACAGTCCTAACAATAGATTCCTGTTAGTCTTTATCTTTCTTTATTATTCAATGACGAACCAGGCTCCAGGGTGTATTGCCTTTAATCCTTCGGTAGAGTTTGACAATGGCTGTATTTCTTAATCTCAACTTTACTCCAAAAATGACAGGAATTGAAAAGAACAAGGGAACAAGAGCCCATTGAATTTATTGTAGACTGTCCGTTGATCATGCTGCGTACAATCACTGCGGCGTCAGCTTTTAAGTCACAGTCCCCCATGAAGATCGGGGCAGTCTAAATTCTACGACACCAGAATCGTCCATCAAATCCAAGATAAGTTCGAATCTCACATCCCTTGAAGAGATAGTCAGAGCTTAAGTCTTAAAAATACAAGCTTCCTGAAAACCGATTAGAGCCTCCGTTTTTAAATATCGCAGATTGAGGCACATTAACTTCATGGCACATCCGAGATCTGCCAGCTCTGTTTCTGGGCTTTCTTCAATTGCTGACTATGCCATGGAGAAACAACGAAGAAACTGCGAAAAGCTCTTTAGTTGCATAAAGCCCAAAAGAAACGTAGATGAGGTGCAAGGCAAAGGAACACCATGGAATAAGCATTTCGCCAAGGTCGAATATAAAAACATACTCCCGTGGGACGAGTTTTCCGAAGAGAACATCGATTGTTTGTTCAAAGAAGAACTATCTAAAGATTTGGGTAACTGGACAAAAGGTGATGGGGTGGATCTCTTCCGGGGCCTAAATAAATGCTATCGAGTTAAGCACGAGAGAGATGTCAACAGCTTGTTCAGAGGGTGCTTACAAAATCCTCTGAAGAAATCAATCAATTTCAATGGAAATAACATTCGCGACAAAATTCGATTGAGTCGGATCCCAGAGATCGATTTGGACTTCGAAAAAACACGAATAAGGCCAAACAAGTTGCCAGACGAAAAGAGTCAACCGTCCAAGACGGGTCCGGACTGGCCACTTTTCATGTCTTTGCCGATTTCACCAAAGAGACAGGAAAGGGAGGATCTATTATTCACTGTCGGTGATGCCAAAAGACATCGCGTCTTTGATCCAAGATGGCTTGCAAGTGAGAAACATTATGATGACTACAAGGTCAAAAACCCAATGGGCCAAATGGGCATGTACGCATATTACGGCAAGACAAGGTATGCATATATCATCACTTCAGAGACTGTTACAGTCTTCCGATTCTTTCTTATTACAGCTCCGGAAGATGGAATGAAACTCGCAATGGGGGCTCAGTACAAGTATTTCAGCTGGAATGAAAATCCGAAAATGGTTTCAAAGGCCATATGGGCCTTGGCCATGTTCAGCATGAACGATCACGAACGAGACGTTGTTGCATTTGATCAAATGCAATCAATCGAACAGTGGTGGGAGAGAGCCAATCCATATTGTCCGAAAATAATAGAGAATGTTAAGCTCGCCAAGAGACGGTTATCCAAAAAACGAGGCACTACGCAAGATGTTTTGAGGAGTGTCCAGGAGGGCCGTATCAAAAAAGGCCCTCGAAAGCTCAGCACACTGAAGCTAGGTGACTCGGCCATTGCTGTCTTGTCAGATCAAGTGACTTTGACTGGGGATCACAGTCCAGGACGCTCTTCGCCGATCAATACATCCAAGTCCGAATCATTTGAACAGCACATTGATTTGAAAAGGAAACCCGCCACACTGCTCGAACAGAAGCAGCAGAAACCGCGGCCTGCAAAGACGATACAAGGAAAATTGAACAAGATTGAATTAAGGGTTCCGAAGAAAAAGGTCAGCCGTACGTCAAGAACAAAGAAAGGTTGCAAACTAGAGATATCCACATCGAAGTTAAGAGCAGCAAGCGATGATAGAACTGGGGTGTCAATTTAGTGCTTTTTTTTTTTTTCCAGAGTAAGTATAGTATGCATTTTTCTACTTCTTTCCTTTTCCTGTTGGGTATGTATATATAGAATGCAAGTACAATAATTCATCGATATGAGTATTTGATAAATAACTATTTGGCTTTGTACTTTTTTTGTTAAAAAGACGCTGTTGCAAGATGATCAAATGCAATCGCTTCGCCACAGAGGCTGTGGTTTGTATTACTAAAGGGGGCGCCATGAGGGCCCATAGCTTTTGGTGAACAGTTACGGTCCGACCCGCATCTCTGGCTCTGTATCAAAGCAACATCGTCAAGGAGAATCGCGCCCACCTTGTTGTTGGTGCTTGTTCTACCAAAAGTACCCACGAAATGGCATGCTTGTATGGAGATCCATGCCACAATCGGGATCTTTGCCAGCCAGCCGCACCCCTCTACAAATGATGAACTATGGAAGTCAAGCCTCACGGATTTATGGGCTTTTTGGACCCTGTAGCACTGTGCCTCCTGGATGGAGGATCAGAATTCAATACCTGCGGGTGAATGGAATGCATGTATCGCCAACCGTCACATTGCATTGCAAGCCTACCGCAGCGGCATTTTCACCGGCGGCCCGCGCATGGCGGCTTGCAGCCCATCTCTTTTGGCAACCCATCATCTCAATCACGTCGTTATTCTTCCAAAAGGTATCCAACTGTCATAAAGTCGGCTGTTTTCATATGACCATAAACCTTGGTCTACTTCCTTTGCATGGTTGCGGCTGATGTCTTTTTTCGCGGAAGCAGGAGTCATGTTATACCAAACTCATTTTAGTGCAGATCAAGGTTTGACATGTCCGAGCACAATGCCACTCTTTGTGCCGCTCGAGAATGAGGCATTCAAATTGAATACTTCCATGTGTAATGCTCAATAGTGGAGACAAACAGCTTGCTAAGCAAGACAAGGTAGGCACGGGAATAAGATAAGTAAAAAACCACATGATGCAAATTACGAAGATGTCCTACATCGGTACCGACCACCTGCATACCTAACCAGGTGTGCGAGTTTCAGGGATAGGCCTGGTCTGCAGGATGTTGCTTCCCTCTGCAGCGTTCAATAATGCACATTTAGCGATCGCTTAGGCGAGCCTTGCCTTATCACAACAGGGTCATGGTCCTTTCCCTGCAACATCTTACAATCGGACCAAAGTCTCCGGAATTAGCCCCTCATGTCATTTGTGATTACCAACAGCCTTACGACACGGTCAGGTGATCACTTATGCCTCACGATATCAGCTCAACCTCTTAGCAAGCTGAGGCCTCATTGCGATCACTAAGTGCGAATTCCACTGCCAGCAGGTGGAAACTTTCGATCCTGTAATTCGTGCTTGCGCTTCTCCTCAGTTGAGGGCCGTCATATTCTCAAAGTACCTTGCGAGTAACCAGGACTACCTAAGCGTGCTTGGCTGCCCTGAAAAACAAAGAGAAGGAAAAACGAAAAACATATTCGATAAACAGCGATATCCACTTCCTATTAAGAAAAAGAAGAAGAGCGGAAAAATAACCTTCGTCTTCCCGCATTAAGCAATTGAGAATGAATCAGATACGATCCACTCATGCTGTTACGCCGATCAAAGGCCCTCCAGGAGTGCTAACCAACAGCAGTACAGCGAACGACTTTCCGAACGACACCAAAGAGAATAGACCGAAGGACCAGGCAAACAACGTTGCTGCCACCACAAGAGCAAAGAAGAAGTCTTTGTCATTTAACCTGTCCATTCTACTACTTGGCATTATTGGCTTCCTCGTGGCATTGGACGCCAACTCTCTAGCAGTAGCACTACCTGTAAGTCCTCTACTTAACCAGAAAGAGCTTCTGTCATTGACCAGATATATCACGACAGACCATTGGGAACGAGCTGGGAGGGTCAACTCTAGAGACCTTTTGGGCTGGTATCGCATTCACCCTCGCCGTCGCCATCACACAACCGGTCTATTCGACTATATCCGATGTCGTCGGCCGGAAGATACCGTTGTATACCTCTCTTCTCTTCTTTACTGCTGGCTCAATCATCTTCGCCCGTGCCGGGAACATGGAGATCGTCATTCTTGGTCGTGCTGTGATGGGCTTCGGTGGGGGCGGCATGGATGTATTGCAAGTCATTCTGCTTTCCGATGTTACGACATTAAGAGAGCGTCCCTTATATATGGGGATAAATGCTGTCTTTAATGCGACAGGAGCTGTTATAGGACCCATCCTCGGCGGCGTTTTTAGCCAGTATATCTCCTGGCGCTGGTTGGGTTGGTTCAACCTCCCCTTTCTTGGAATCTCGGTCATGTTGGCCTTCTTCTTTCTACGAATTAAACATCTCCAATTAGAATTTCGCAAGAGACTGGAGCGTATTGATTGGGTCGGCATATTATTATTCGGCACTGGAGGAACATGTCTGGCTTTGCCCCTTTCCTGGGCCAATTCGCTTTACCCTTGGTCTTCTTGGAAGACTCTGCTCCCACTGATCATCGGCGTGGTTTTCCTCTGCATTCTGGCATGGTACGAACGGAAGCCACTTGAACCGGTTTTCCCTTATCGTATCTTTACCACAAGAACTGGAAATGGAGCTATACTCTCAGGAGGAATTCATGGTCTCCTGATGTACAGCATTTCTCAATACCTCCCATTGTATTATGAGGCGGTTCACCTTCAAACACCCTTTCAAGCTGGTATTTCGACACTTCCTTATTGTGCCGTCAGTATTGGCTTCAGCGCCATATCAGGCGTTGTGGTAAATAAACTGCGGCGATACAAGCTAATACTCTGGAGCGGATGGATTTTGAGTACAGTCTTCACAGGAATGCTCTATCGACTGGACCACAACACTATTGCAGCCGAGAGTTACAGTTACCAAGTCCTCATGGGTGTTGGCATCGGCACTGTCCTCACCGTGACCGCCTTGCCGACTCAGGCTAGCGCTAAAGATCCCAACGATACCGGTATTGCGGCTGGTATGCTCGTGATTTTCCGCTTCTTTGGTGCGCTCATTGGCTTGACCATCGGTTCAACAGTATTTAGTTCTGCCTTCCAGATGAGCGTTGATACAGTTGCGGTCAATGGGCAAATTCCAGACGCCGCAAAGTTCTTGCAAGATTCCACAGGGGCGTTGAGTTTTATACCTTATCTCCGCGACCTGGATGTGTCTAGAGAGGCCATGGATACCATCATTGGCGTGTACACACGGGCTTTTCAGGTAGTCTGGCTGGTGTTCATGGGAGCCTCTGTTTTGGGCTTTGTGTTCTCCTTGCTTATCAAGGAGCTTTCCATGGAGAATGACGAGGTTGGTAGGCAAGGATTAGATGAGTAATAATTAGTGTTTCCTCGGTGGACCTTCAAGTTCGAGGCAAAACGCGGAGATCTGACCGTCAGCATTACATGAATCGGATGTTTGTTGCCAAAGTATTACAACAACCTGGTCTTTGAGCCGTTTGAGCATTGAGGGATCGTGAGACACATATTCCTTGCAATACAGGAACGGTTCAGCTAGCTTGTGGAAATATGAAGCTATCGGGATCCGTACAATTTAAGCTTACAACACATAGAGTCTTGTAGGATTGGCCAAATATCGTACTGACGTAGTTAATATCCACCGCAGATTACCTGCGTGGATATATAGTTCGCTTTTCAGCGCCTCTCTTTCATAGACTACAGATCAACTCAGACGCCTTTTAATGCTTCCATAATCATCTCGTCTTTGATTCCCCCTCCACATATTAGCTCAGGTGAGAGCAAAATCATTCAAAGTCACGTACGCATGCGACCTGCGAGCAGAATTTATTTTTAATTAATCTGGTGATAGTACTATGTCTCTCTGAAAAATGGGCGATTTTGGTGTGATTTTAGTGTAAATCTGATCGATTGGCTTTTTTTTTATAACGTGCCTGTAGTTCCCTGCTGGAGTGGGGTTTGGCAGCCCCTCACCTTGCCTACGTACATAGTCACGTTTGTTATTCTTCCAAAAGTTATGCAATTACTAGAAAGTTGGCTACCTGAATATGAGCATACACCTAGGTATACTTCCTTTGCATGATTGCGGTTGCTTTTCGCAGAAGCAGGAGCCATTTTAGTATAAAAAGTTACTCATTTGTAAGTATTGAACCAAAGTGCACTAGACCCCATACCGATTGTCTGCGGGGCCGGGGTAACTAGGCCTTGGCTATAGCAGTATCTTTGGCCTAGCTAAAGCTAAGGTTATGGGACAGTCAAAAAAAAAAAAAAAAAAAAAAAAAGTGACTGTCTCAACCGGCTTCTGTTTAGTGAATCGTATTGATTCCGTCAGCCTGCAAAATTAAGATTTTCTCTAGCCTACTACAATTATATATACCACCTAGGTGACCTTTGCACGTGTTCCGTCTCCCCCCACCCACTACTTTGCCACACGTAGTAGTTTAGCACCATTCATTAATCGGCGTCAGTCAAGCCCCTCTCCCCGCCAACATGGCAACACCATTCTAGATGATCAAAATATTTCCATAATTTTTTCTCATATGCATCTTCGCATCACAATGCCTGCGGCGCCACCACTTCCCTTAGAGTTATGTTTCTTTGTGGCACAGTACCTCCGAAACAGTGACGTCAAGAGCCTTCGTCTCGTTTGCAAAGATTTCTGGGGCAAGTTTCATCTACGCCTGGACCGTGTGTTTCTATCTGCAAACCCGTTAAACATCGAGGTCTTCCGATCCATTGCTGACCACGACACTTTTCGTCGCGGCATTGTCGAGATCATTTGGGACGATGCACGGCTGGGAGGAGATGTGCGCAGCAATGAGCAGAGGGAACTTGAGGACAACCTTGGGTACTATCTAAGCTCGGATGATGATGATGCAGCAGAAATGGAAGCTGCAAGGTCTATCGATGGGGCACCCAGATGGTACAAGATTCTGTGTCGCCAAAGCATCGCTGATCTGAATCGCCGTAGCCGTATTGGACGTAACCGACCAGCTACTCAGGCACGTTTGCGGCAGCTCGTTGAGAAACTGCCTAGCACCGAGTCTTGGAAGTATTATAAGCATCTTTGGGAACAGCAGCAACAAGCACTGGATCATGGAGCCGATGCCGAGGCTTGAGGTACGGCCTTGCTCGGTTTCCAGCACTCCGCAGAGTGACAATTACACCCACGGCTCACGGCTTTCTGTTCGGAGCCTTTTATCAGACACCCATGGTTCGTGCGTTCCCCTACGGCTTCGTCTACCCGGTGCCGATTGCCTGGCCTGCACAAGACGATTTCGAGCTGCCCTCTTGGGTGAAGCCATGGGATGATACGCAACGGCAGATATGGCGTGGCGTATGCATTGTTTTGCGGGAACTCGCCAAGCAGGAACATAACGTGGTTGAGTTTCTCATCCAGCCGAACGGTCACAAGACCGGTGTGAACTGCCGCATGTTTGACCAGCCGTGTCAGGAGTACGACTTCTTCAAGGCGCTGCTGGGTCGTCCGGGCTTTCGACACCTGGAACTGTCGGTTCTTGCCGATGAAGAGGACGATGACTGGAGCGCACTCCAGAATGGGCGCCTCTATGAAGCGCTTAGCGAGGCCATGGACCTTGAACATCTGGATTTCTGGTTCCAGATCGATGCGGACCAGGAAATCGACCTGGAAAGGATTCCAAAACTCCGGAGCATGCTGCCCTTCCACAGTTGGCCAAAACTACAGCACTTTGGGCTCTCGCGCGCCATCGTAAGACATGAAGACCTTGTCTCCATCCTACAAACTCTGCCATCAACTATCCGGTCCGTAGAGCTGAGCGAATTGCGCTTTTTCGATGAACGGCCGAATCCGAATCATAGCCGGCGAGGCTTTTTGCGTCGTCTCCGTGAGGATCTGGAGTGGCGTACACGACAACCAGAAGACCAGCCTCGTATCGCCTTTCACACTGGTGCGCGTGAGGGAATGACTCGCCAAGACTGTTTTGATGCTGAAGTAGCTAGTTTTGTCTATGGGGATGGACCAAATCCCTTTGATCAGCTGGATGCCGTGCCGAATGTCCAGATGGGTTATGCTAGGGACCCGCTGGAACCGGACTACAGAGTACCCGAATAGGAGTCATCACGCCCGACACAGCTGAACTTAGCAGTGGCATGGATTCTACAATGACCCCACATAAGTCTGGCCACATAGGAAATCTGGACCCCCCAATACGTACGATACGTATATTTCAACATAACGTTTCTCACTCAAATTGCACTCAAAAATTATAAAAAAAATATGCATTTTGTACGGAAATCAATAATATATATACCAGCCACGTGCTCTGCGTACGGCTGCTATTTTCCGGCCTAGACTTTTAATAAGGCCGGCGATAAATTATTCGTCGATTTTAACCTATACGGCAGTAATTAATTCTTTTACTTATTCGATATCGGCTTCGTTTTTTTTAAAATCGTAAAAATTAAGTTCTAATTAACGGATTTTGGCCTTTAGCGCCTTTTATACGTGCTCGATTAGGTTAAGATTCGGGTTATAAAAGGGCTAATTAAAGGTCTAAATTCCACGCTTTTCTAATTATTGCGGATTTCCTCCCGTAACGTAAATATAAGCATTATTTTGCATAAAAAAATCCCTAGCTTCGTATAACGGGACCAGCTTTTCCTTTAAAACGGCTTAATACGATCGTGCACTTACTCTTTTACGCGGTGCATCCGGATCTCTTTTAAAAAAGATTAGCGGGGATTTCCCTTTTTCCCCGTCCCGTAACTAAATTATTCCCTAAACTATAATAAAAATCCGGGGCTTTATATATTTTTAAGGGTTTATTAAATCCGATCGGTACCTTTTTTTCGAGTACCGGATTATTTATTAACCCGGATTATCCGGATTATTTTAAACGGTGTATTCATCGGAAAATAATATACGAAAGAGCTTTCGTAATTTAGCCGGAGTATTATATTTTCGGCAAAAATCGAATCTTTTTTTCGCCGATTCCTCCGTTAACTCGATATGCTTAGCAGCTCGCTATTTTTTTAAACCGTTCCGTTATAATATCCTTTTAATCGTTTCGGTATATATAAAAAACCTTAATTTCTTCCGGAGCTTAGCATACGTAGCGCAAAGGTATTTTTTTGCTAAAATAATAAGCCGTCGTTTTGCGCGGTAATTAAATTTCCTTAAGGCACTAGATTTAGGAGCAGATTTAGCAGTGCCGCGTTATTAAATACGGGTGGTAATACGTATAATAATTCCTGGATTTTTCGTCTTAATTAGCTCGGCGATATCCTTTTTTAATATACCGGCTATACGCAGCGCTATAATACCTATACGGCCCTCCGAAGTAAATTCGCAGTTTTTCCCGCGATTCCCGCTTATAACGCGTTTAAATTCGCGTAAATCCGATATAATTTAAATAAAAAACATATAATTAAAGTTATTCGGCGCGTCGCGTAAATCTTTATTTTAACCGGAAATAATATAGATGTTAAATGGTGGGTTATTGTTAATCAAGGTGGTGCTTTCCTATTGGAGTTTAAACTGGTCTGATATTAGTGTCAATTATATAATATATTGATTTATATTCTGCGCCTTTTAATTTTAATAAAATATACGCTTATTTAGGTGGCCCCGGCTAATCCCCGGGAGGTCCCGTATATTTATTTAGACTTTATAGTATTGATCCGTGTGTTTAAGCATACCCTAATATATAAAAACCATAACCTACCATTTAATACACCCCTTTAAATCTACGATTTATTATAAATTTAGCTATATTTAAATTAAAGTTGCTAATTAGCAAAATATAGCTTTTTATAGGATTATTCGTTTTAATTACGATAAGCAATTTTAAATTTTATTTATTGCAAAAAGCTTTGCTATTTATTAATTAGTAAGCTTTTCGTTAATCCATCTATTATTATTTTATTTAAAGGTTTATAAATAATTTTAATCCTTCCGTTTTAGGCTTTTTGCCGCAGCTAATAATTATAAATATTTATATAACGGAGTTTTGTTTTTAATAACGCAATTTCGGTATTAATTAAATTAATAATTTATTTATTATTATATTTAATAGTAATAATGCTATAGTCCAGTTATATCGATAATTCCTTTAATAATCGGCTAATAAATAATATTTTTTTGGCAGCTTATACTAAGGTAAGTAATTTAGTTTTTATAATAAAAATAATAACTATATTTTATTTATTTAATCGCTAATTAATTAATTTTCCGAATAGCTTTATAGCAAATATTTAGGTATTTTTACGATCGATATTATTATCGGCAAATAATATATTATTAGTAATTATTAAATTAAAAAATCCTCCGATTTTAAATAAAAGTTTTTTAGTATTAATTAAATAAATTAAAGCTCGATTAGCAGCTTTTTAATATATTTAGCTTAGATTATTAAGGAATTAAATTAATTTAATTATTGCGAATATAATATCTAGTTTTATAAATATAGCCGTAAATAGCAGTAATCCGATTTTTTTTTAATATTTTTATATTTTGTATAAAAGCTCTATAATTAATCGAAATATAAATTTTTCGTAGCCTATTAACGTCGTATAAATCTTTTATTTATTTATAAATTTAGCGATTTTTTTAAAATAAGCCCTTTAGGATAGTTAGATTATTTTAAATATACGATTTTTAATTATTTCTATCCCGAAAAACTATTATATTAGCTCGCTATTATTAATTTTATATTTTTTTATAAAATGCTATATTAAATAATTAATAGCCTTTTTATTTTTATTCCTATATACGATAATTATGTCGTTAATATAAAAAAAAATTAGCACTCCTTTATTAATAAATGCGTAAAGCTTATATAATATTTAGGTATAGCCGATTTTGGCTAAAGTTTTTATAAACTTTTTTTATTATAATAATAATAATATCCGTAATTTATAAAATGCTTTATTTAATAATAATATAATGTTTTTTTTTCGATATTTATCCGGTATTTTTATAAATATATTTTAATCGATAAAAGCGTATATAAACGCGTTTATTACATTATATTATATTAGTTTAAAATCGAATTTTGCTATAATCGCGATTAGGGTGCAAAATAATTTTTTAGCTAATATAACCGCGTAAATTTCCTAATTTTAAGATTTCGCTTATTAATTACTATAAACGACGAATTTTGCCTTATATTTTTAGAATTTTCCGTGCTTATCGAATTTATATATATATATTTATATATAATTAAAAATTTATTTGTTTTTTATTCGTAAATTTTTTTTATTAATTTTAGTTTAAAATCGTATATTTTTATAATTTTATAAATAATTAGTTTTTATTTAAAGGAATAATTTGCTAAACGGATAATAATATAATTTATAATGCTATTTAAAAAAAGCTGGGATTTCCGCTTTATAAATTTTTACCTTTTAATAAAGGGAGCGTTTTAGCTTCGCTTTATCGTTTTAATTATTGCCTTATCCTGCTTTAAAAATAGCTTTATAACTAGCTAAAAAAGCTGTTTACTATAGGATTATTTTAGGTTTTTTTTTTAATAGCGCCGTATTTTTAATCGTAATCGCTTTTATATTATATATTAATAAGGCTAATAAAAATATTTATAATAAAATTTAAAAGGCAAATTTCGCGGTAATAAAAAAGTATTATTTATTTTTTTTATTTAGCGCTACTTTTTTATTTTTTTAATTATTATTTTTTTCCTAATTATTTTAATTATTGTTTAGCAAAATATTTTTTATAGCGGTTTTTTTACTTTTTAGTTTTTATAAAATCTCGTTTTTAAATATTGCGTAATTAGTTATAAAATCGGCAATAAGCTAAGTATTAATATTTAAAAGCTCGTTTTTAAATATATCCTATTTTTTATCGTATAATTTTTTTTCGTTTATAATTATATTTTTCGTATTAATTAATTTATTCCGATTAAAAATCTAAATCTTATAAATATTAGATAACTTATATCCGATTAGGTATTTTATTTATATTTTAAATGCTAATCGCTATAAACGGCCGAATTTTTATTATACCGTTAGCGTTATTATATACGCTTTATATCCGAATATTTTAAAATAAATTTAATTAAGCTTATAGCTCGGATTTAGGACTTTTTTTACTTTCGCAATTGCTTTATAAAATTTTATATATAATATACGCTATTAGGAACTATAATTTAGCGTACGATTATATAGGTATACCGCGGTTTTGCCGATTTTAGGCTAAAGTTAATAAAGGAGTTTTACGCCGGTGCGTATTATACGTTTTTTTTTTTAATTATACCTTTTAAACGTTTAATAGCTTTATTTTAGGCTTATATATATAATGCTAAAGGCTCGAGTTTAATATATTTATTTTTAAAATATCTTCCGATTACTTGTTTAACTTCGGTAATCTCGTTATCGTATTCGATAATTTTAATTTTTATTCTAAGGTATAATTGGTGGATTATAAACTTAGGCATAAGGAAGCGTTCGTATAATTCGTAAAATCAGGCCGTAGTAGTAGTTATAGGGCTGTATAACTAATTTATTAAAGCTTAAGGAAAGAATAACTAACTACGGAGGAATAACTACCTTTTATACCTATAAAATCAACCGATAAGAATATTCTGGAATATATTATTAATAAACTGGATTTATAATTAAGTTAATTAGTAATAAGGTTGATTTATAATCGAAAAAACTATCGAAATCTATAGATTTTTATAGTGTAGGTTACCCTATAACCCAGGGCCACTATGGCTAGGTGCACTGGCCACACTTAGTGGGGCTGGATCCAGTGGAACGTTCCACTGGATTCCAGTGGGTTCCAGTGGCTATAGTGGCCATAACAGTTAATTATAATTGTCAGATGGTGGATTATGGTTCCCATACACTGGGGTATGCTTGAGCACACGGATTAACCCCATAGTATTTAGATAGATATACGGGACCTCCCGGGGATTAGCCGGGGCCACCCAAATAAGCGTATACCTTATTAAAACTAAAAAGCGCAGAATATAGATTAATATATTATACAATTAATATTTATATTAGACTAATTTAAACTCTAATAGGAAAGCACCACCTTAATCAACAATTAAGAGTCTTAGTGCCTCCGCCGAAGCTACGAAAATAATA